GAAACGATTATTTTTGTTATTATTTTATACAAAACGACCCCTGAAAATTCCCTGACTTTTTCTCTGAAGACTACGATAAACGATTGTTAGAGACATGTGGCCAACTGAGGATTTTGGTGCTGTTTTAATTCTCTAGAGGTTTCAAAGTTGTTTTTTTTTCGACGGCGTTGACGCTTGAAGTCGTGACAATGGTAGTTACTGTGATGGCCGGGATGGATCTATTATTCTATTTTGTATGCGTAGGTTTTGCTACTTTGTTGTTTGTTTTTATTCAGTGGTGATCCTAGTGAGTTTATGTGTGAGAACAGTTGTCCGTTTTGACAGCATGGGCCGTGTGAGTTTGTCTGTACTGTACATGTATAGGTTGACCCAACCTATGTTCTGGGTCAATGTCGACGTCGCCAGTGGTTGTATTTGGTTGTCAGGTTGAAACTGTTCAAGGGGCACATGTCTTCTTCTTTTTCAGTGTACATGCAGCGACCCTCGGCCAAGAATGGTCATAACGGGGCACAGGACGGCCAACGGGCACCGTCTCTTCCCGGCGTTCCTGATCCGGGGAAGCTGACCACTGATGGACCTGACACGTCAGCCACCCATCCATCTGGCCCGGGATGTACTTCCCTGGGCACTTTCTCTTCTTCCCTTGCATTAGGGAGCAGACCGTCCACGTCAAGCCACCGCCGGACACACCCACATCCCCCGAAACAACCGCCGTCTGCATCCCCGGCCCTGGGACATCCATTCTCGGTCCTGGGAGAGCTGTGAGGCCAGTCACACCGCCCGAGACCGACGTGACGGCAGTTCCCGGCACAGCCGATGCGACGAGGCCGATCTGAACGTGCTATTCGATGTCCAGTGTAAGGACGCAAAAGACAATAGAGTCTGCATGATCGATACCAAATGTCATAATGTCTGAAGACATTAGCCAGAGGACCACCCCTGACCAAATTGTTTGATTGTCTGGATCCATCATATGTCCTAGTACAAGGACAGTGACAACAAAACATTTGAGCATAAAGAACGACAGTCATTGTAACAACAACTAGTTCAATTGTATTGTCAATTATTTTATTACATTTGGTCTTTTCCTACGTAGTCCAGGCTTTTGAGACTGGAGAATGATACAGTCTATATTGTAATCGAACTGATTGCTGTTATTCAGTACATCCAGTTATCAAACTAACGAGTACAACGGCCATATAAGATTTGTTCAATGATTCACTGCTATATAATAATATCTTAAATACAAGGGAGGCATGTATGGTATTTATAGCAGGACATCTGCATAGTTTTTGTACAATATCCAATGATCATGTGCAACAGGAGTTCCCTGGCCCTACAGCTGTAATAGATGACCTAGTACAGGTGTCTCCCACTGCAAGGTCAGAGGTCAAGTCTAAAAGTCTTGACCAAAGCAAGTCTCTGTGTCATTCCTCAGTTTGTCACTTCTTAGAGTTAGGTCCTAGGTCAGACAAAAAAGGACTATTATGTTATGAATGTTAGGCAGAACAGGTTTCAGGATGCTTAATATTCAGATGGACAAAATCACATCCCCCAACTTCATCTCATCAATTGAACGTACTAACCCTGTACTTGAGGACAATCTGTCGTCCCTAGGCTCGGCCTCGACAAGATCCACAAGACCACCCTACTAATACCAAATCTTCATGCCATTTATCCCACTTACTAACACTGCACTTGAGGACGAATCTGTCGTCCCTAGCTTCGGCCTCCGACAAGATCCACAAGACCACCCTACTAATACCAAATCTTCATGCCACTTATCCCACATACTGACCCTGTACTTGAGGACAATCTGTCGTCCCTAGCTTTGGCCTCCGACAAGATCCACAAGACCACCCTACTAATACCAAATCTTCATGCCATTTATCCCACATACTGACCCTGTACTTGAGGACAATCTGTCGTCCCTAGCTTCGGCCTCCGACAAGATCCACAAGACCACCCTACTAATACCAAATCTTCATGCCACTTATCCCACCTACTGACCCTGTACTTGAGGACAATCTGTCGTCCCTAGCTTCGGCCCCCGACAAGATCCACAAGACCACCCTACTAATACCAAAGCCTCATCATCTCATCATCAAAAAAAAACCTTAGGTCCGCCATGTTTCCTTCCCGTCATGCGAAGAAAATTACATTGAACTTCAATTGCAAGTCCTAAACACAATCAGCGTATATTACGCCAGAGCCATCGCCTCTATACACTCCTGCCAAAATGAACACACAACCAGGTAGGCTTTCAGTTACTGCTCTTTCCAAACATACCGCTAGGCGTCGTCCTTACACTGTGGCCCGGTGACAGGTCCCACAATGCACTTCACTCAACTTTGGCCTGCCCCATTGCATGACGGGAAACAAAATGGCGGCGCCCATAAAATCGAGGTAACGTAAAACAGGTTCCCGCTATCGCGAACCTGTAATTCTGTCATCAAAGTTCATCAACAATTGTAAAAACACCACAGTAACCATCTGGCACTATGCAACCTGGGATTTTTTTTACCCCTTTGCGCTATGCATTTTGGGAACGATAAACGGCGAGTTCACTCTCGATCCCAAGACAGCTTGGGAACGAGAAGGAGCACGGTATCTGTGACGTCTACACAAATGTTTTCTTTCGCCGTGCCCGCCATAGCTGAGCAAACGGACGGGGAACATTCTGGATAAAATGTCATGAAAGTAGCCCGAAGGAACGTGACAGGCGAACAATTAAGCACCACTGCATGCCTTAAAGTCCTGCCTAAGCTGGGAGAAGTTCGTAGAAGTCGTTGCGTTGGAAAAGAGGAGAGCCCCGGCATTTGTGAAGTTTGATTTTGACGTGCAGTGCTTTGCATAGCATGACGTTCTGACCAGCGCAACTGTTGGCTGTGAAAGAATTTTGGCAAGTTTGCTGCTCTGCTACAGGCTACATGCATCATCAGGTGGTGAATGCCAGCTCGCAGAAGATTCTAGAACATTCTGGACAAGCTAACAGAACTCTCTGAGTGAGACCAGCTGCGTATGCGTACTCTACCCTATGCAGAGAGTCTTGCTTGCACTCAGGGCTTGTTGTGCAGACGACATCTCGGTTAGTCGATCGATGGAAAAGTTCAGTTCAAAGTCGACTTGTGTTTGGCAGAGCTAGAGATTTGTTTGGAGCTACAGTCCAGAACTTTCTACTAGCAGATTTGAGGCATTTGGTTTTGTGACACTGTCATAGCTATTATAGAGTAGAGTCCTTACATCTGTGACATTACATAAATCTGTGTAGTGTATAACAGTTAATACTGCATGGTACGACCTGGTAGTCTTGATGGACGAAGTGTGTACAGGTTCTTGTGTTTTCTGTTCTCCTATGCCCTGTACACCTTCCTTGTGATCGCTGCGATAGTATGCATGCTGGCGTATGACGTCCTGCGTCGCTATGTCGGCAGAGAAAACCTGCTAAGAGTGCTCGCTTCTGGTCTGAACGAAGATCTCGAAACCCGGCAAACTGTACGCGGTGGTGGGGAGGCCGTCATCAGACCCACACGGCAAAACAGAAACAGATCGAGAGAAGAGACTACCCCAGTATCCGACGTGGATATTGGAACAGGAAGTCTGAACGACAGTTTAGCAGACGACGGACAAAACGTCACCAGAAGAAAAGGCAGTGGAAGTAAAGCTGAGGAAGAGAGTAGCAACACAACCAGCGCAAACTACAAGGACATCAGGTACCTCGGGATTGAACTTGGTACGTCAGAGGATCACACAACTGTAGATAAGACAGAAGACTGCTCTACCAGAGACGTTAAAGAGTCTACAGAAGTCACCAACAGTATGGCAGCAGCTACCCTGTTCTGTTGGGGTGCGGCCAGGAATGGGGAGTTGGGGCTGGGAGGTATCGAGGAAGACGTCATCTTAGCACCGAAGGAGCAACCGTTCGCAGTAACCAAGACACTGAGGTAATCATTGCAATTTGATGGAATCTTGGACCTTTAAGCTAAAACTACGTAGACCTTAACCTAATGTACATGTACTTTCACTTTCAAGTCCATACAAATACCAAGCTTTTTAACCTCCTTGGTTTTAAAGGAAGAGGTACATGTATACTTAAAAGTATACATGTACCTCTTCCTTTCAAACAGTTACTACACACTCATGGTGTCTAACAAGTTGTTTACTATGCTGATGCAATGGCCAAGTGGGTATAGGGTTTGCTTTGCATTCTGTAAGGTTATTAGTTCAATCCCCGGCTGAGTCATACCAAAGTCTTTAAAAATGGTGCATACTGCTAAATGCTTAGCAGTATGCAGTATGCTCAGAATTTGGAAAAGAGTATGGGAGTTAAACACACACCACAACCAGTGGCTTGTCCCCTGCTGTAGTGATTGCACAACTGTGCGGCCCAAGGGCTACAGAAACAGAGATGGGTGCTGCCCTATGCTAGCCTGGTTACCAGACATATTATAGCTCCCGAGACCCACATCCTCTCAGATGTAGGACTCGGGGGCTATAATACAATGTAGGTCTGGTAACCAGGCTAGCCCTATGCACCATATACTAGTAGAGGTGTAGGATTACTAGGAAGGAACTTTGAACACTGTTTACTGTACGTGTAGATATGCAACTGTTCACACATGATGCTGAAGTTTGTTGGAACTCTATCCAGGGAGGTGAGCTGTGGACGGCAGCATACAGTGTTTGTGTTGGCAGAGGGAACCGTGTATACTTGTGGCTCCAACGACTACGGACAACTGGGCCAGGACAAGGGGCACAAGAGGCCAAGTAAGAACCACTGATGACCACTTCCAGGCAGTATTTTTAATTTTAGCAATTTACATTAGCAACTAGCTAGATATGATATTTTTTATGATGGTTCTGAGGAATCTAGCACATGTTGTAGTGTGTGACAGTTGGTCCAATGGTTTGTGAGGACCCTTGGCAATCAAGCTTTGTAATGATCTTGCTTGTACATGTAAGTACTAGTGATGTGATGATGAGTGATGTTTAAGCTTCTTCCCACTTCTCTGCACACCCACACTTCTAGCTGTGATCACAGCCCTGGATACCCAGAGTATACAACAGGTGTCGTGTGGAGACTACCATAACATGGTGGTCAACGACAAGCACCAGGTCTTCTCCTGGGGGTTCGACGACTGTGGACAGCTCGGACAAACAGAGAGCAACAACTCAAGAAGGCCCAGGTGGGTACATGTTATTCGTAGTCCGGTGCCCCATACAGGATAACTTTTAGTTGTAGCACTGTTCTAGCAACCCTGAATTTTTTTCTGTCATCATGTTTACTAGTACCTTGTAGAAGGAAAACTGTAATCTGCATGTGGTATAATATTTTCTCTTCTCTCTCTCTCTTTGTCTTTATCTGATCTCTCTAGTTTCTCTCACCCCTTTCCTGCTTTTACCCTTGAATAGAAGATTTGCAGAAACATTCTTTGCTTTAGCTTAGCAGTCACCTTATTGTTTTACCTTATCTACTCAACAGGGACAAATAAACTTCTTTTCTTTAATAAGATGTAAAATGTTAAATCATTGTGGTTTCACCTGTGGCTGTGTTTAGGGGAGAAAGTGATGATGACCCTGACCTAGAGGTCAAACATAGTTCTGAACCCAGGTGAGGAGCATGATGGGAGTGAAAAATGAGAATGATGAAATGTTAAAAATTGAGCTAAGGCCACAGCAAGTAAATTTTATGGATGACATCCTCCACAGATTCCAAATCTAATGCGATAGGGAAAAAAAACAAGGGCCAAAAAAAGAAGATTTTGACATTGTAAATATTACTTGCTGTGGTCTAAGACAGTTTTTTCAACATGTCAGCCAATTAAGCCTGAGCTAAGGAGTATGAAGTCTGGATGAAAAAACAACATGTCTTGCTTTTACCTTGCTTCTTTGGCTTTTAATGGAATTTTTTACTATTTTTTTTCTTTTCTCTGCCTTGACTTACTACTACTCACACTTTTCTGTATTTCTTTATGTCCATGGTTGATGTGAAATGATTTTAGGTACATGTATTTTGCATGAATTTCTGATGTAGTAAGTTGTTTTCTCTCTGTCAGGATGGTGAAAGAGTTGTCAAGTTTACAGATTGTGCAGGTAGCCTGTGGTGGCAAACACTCCCTAGCTTTGGCCAATGGTAAGATATAGATTTTTTTAAAGAGACTTAAGAGACATAAGAAATTTATTAGCATTGGCAAACTAAAAAAAATTCGAATTATCACTAATTTACAATGTAGTATGAAATTTCTCGGTGTATTTCACTCACTGGTAGCCATCCAAGTGTGTTAAATGTGCCTCATTCTACTTATCTCTTACTAGATGGGCGGATCTTTTCGTGGGGAAACAACTCCCATGGTCAGTTGGGGATCGGCTCGACCCAGAACCAGTCCAAACCCCAGGAGCTGACCACAGTGACCGGCATCCCGTTCTGCCAGATTGTGGCAGGGGGCGCTCATAGCTTTGTCCTGTCCAAGTCTGGGGCTGTGTTTGGGTTTGGCAGGAACACGTAAGTCAGTGTCTAAGTCTGGGGCTGTGGTTAGGTTTGGCAGGAATATGTAAGACAGCTTGACTGTTCTTACAAGTTTTGATTCTTGAAAGATATACGGCAGATATAAAGTGATTTACAGTACTTTTTCATCATATTAGATGCCTTCTTAGTATCTGTTATCTTGGCATGATGACACTGTATAGATTTGTATATTGAAGTGTATCATTAATATTGTGTTCTGTGTCTTGTTAACCAGTTCCTAATAATATTACAAATTTTATTTTCCATGTATAGATTTGGACAGCTTGGTCTTGGGGACACAAAAGGTAAAAAAATTGGTGGTTGACTCTTTCAGTGGAAGATTTTCTTTTCATTCATTCCTGTTCTGTGTGTATGTTTAGTACTAAAAGTACAAAAACCTGTTTCGTACACAAGTAAATGTTTCTTCACTCCAGATCGACAGTACCCAACACATGTTAAATCCTTGCGCTCCCTGAAAGTCGCCCATATTGCGTGCGGAGAGGAGCACACGGCAGTTTTGACTCTAGATGGTGGTGTCCTGACATTTGGGGCAGGCAGCTATGGTCAGCTGGGCCACAACAGTAACAACCATGAAGCCCTACCCAGGAAAGTGTTTGAACTGATGGGATTAGAGGTTACACAGCTGGCATGTGGAAGGTAAGGGTGTTATCCTGGTCAAAAAAATGTTTATGCAAATAGAAGCCAGTGTGTAATGTCGAAGGTTCTTGCTTCTTCCAATTTAAACATAATTCTGACGTAATTATACTTTTTGTGCACTCTTACGCTCATGTAGCTTACTCTTAAAGAGAATTCTTTTTTTTTCCAGAATGCATACCATGGCTTATGTTGAATCATCAGGGAGAATCTATTCCTTTGGGCTTGGTGGGAACGGGCAGCTTGGTAGCAGCGGTACGACAAACTGTAACAGTCCTACTACTGTGGAGGGGCCATTTGTACCATTTGCAGGGAACTGTGGCCCTGGTAAGTATGTACCACACATTGGTGCAACTAGTGCTGTGTACCGGTTCGCTACAATGTACATGTACTCCCTCCCTACTCTTGGTAGTCCTTCCCCACCTTTTTAGAAATATGCAGACAAGGCCTTATGGACAAAAATATGTACGCGTACGGCGGGTTGTCATCATCATCATCATCCACTGTGTTCTGCGTCTACAGTCGTGTGGAAATGTCCTGTAGCCGCATTCAGTCTTTCTTCATCTCTTTCCACTGTGTCTTCTGCCTCACGAGCTCTCTTAGCTCCTTGAGTTTCTTTTCTGTTATGGGAGGGCCTAGCCCTCTGCGCTTCAGGTCTCCCTTCAGTAAGCTGAGTAGGTTGATACAGTGTCTCCCCCTGCAAGCTTTATATCTCTTAGAGCTAAGGAATGAAAATTCTAATTTTTCATGGTTTTCCTCAGATTTTTGGTCAATGTTACAGAAGAAGAGGAGCCTTGCTTAACCTATGCATTAGTGCTATTTTCTTGAATGTGATGATTTTGACTTGTTTTTTTTGGATTGCAGAAGAAGAGCAGTGTTATGTTGTACAGACCATCACTGCAGGTGGAGATCAGACCTTTGCCTTAGCCTGCAAACTCCAGGTTAGTCCTCTTAAACATGTACTGCGCCTGCGCAAAACCACAATTTTTCATGGTTTTCGTTGTTTTTTTGGTCATTGTTGCCCGTTGCAGAAGATATCTTTTCCAACATGATATTTGGAAACTAATTTGAGACTTTGTGAAAACTCTAGGGTACTCCCAAACCGTTGGACTTCAGAGAAGCCCCCCAGCATAGACAGATCCTCAGCCTTAGTAATGACGTCATCAACACGTGGTCCCAGATCCCGCCTGGTGCAAAACTGTCACCTGATGTCTCCAGGGACATCCACAGGCTCTTCTCTTCTGCTGCATGTTTGAATGGATCCTTTCTGCATAGGTAAGAGTTGTAAATATACAAATGTAAATGTTCCAGTGCCAAAAGTTTATGTTTACCTTCAGAGAAGGAAAACTTATTGTTTTTGCTCTGTTTCTTCTTCCTCTTCTCCTCCAAATAAATAAGGTCAATGACCTGAACCTGACATCTGTCACCATGGTAACTAGCGTCAGATTACATAATGTTGCAATTTTATAGCAGGAGGGATTTAAACCACCTCATATGAATGTGATTGAGTAAGAATTAACAGAGAAAACCATAGGCATAGGTAAACATTATGCATTTCCTTTACAAATGCTACCTTTCTGGTTTATGTTAGTTTTGTTCTTTTTTCCTCTAGCAACCATTTCTACTGTAGCTCAAGGAATCCAGGTGTGGACGTCGGGGAAGCAAGAGCAGCGTTCTACAGACTAGGACAAACTGTCAACAAAGATGTCTTGCAGACGGTATGTGGTAAAGTTTTGTAGGAATTTCTCAAGAAAATTTCTGCGATTCAGCCTTCGGGACTGTTGTCATACATGTATAGTAACTGTTGATGTCATAATAAACCATTCTACATAGATAGTACAATTACTTTAAACAGATATTGATTCGAAAGGCCAGCACGTACTAAACAAATCCTTGCTCTCCTTTTTTTCACAGATATATAAAAGTATGACAGAAACCCTGCTGAAGTCGTTACCCCAGTCCCCACCAGACACAGAAGCCCTCAGACTCTACCTCCTGCTGCCTCTCATGCATTTCTTCGACCAGGGCACCTGTGCCGAGTACGTCCAAGTCCCGGGGCATCTAGGCTGCCGTTTGACTAAACTGGAGGGGGCTGCAAAGAAAATTATAGGTGAAGTATTGCGAATGTCCCTTTTAATTTAGGCCATGCGTCTGAAAATAGTTTCATCAGGTTTCCTCCAGTCAGAAGCTCTAAGGAAGGTGTCTGATAGACACCAAAACATCAGCACTTAGTTGAGAAATCTTGGTTGTGTAAAAGAAAACTCCTGTAACCAAGGCCATGCTGATTTCATTGCATGTATGACATCCATACACACATGAACTTTCGTCCATTTCCCCCCCCCCAAAAAAAATTTCTTCATACTGTAAATTGTTCAAAACAGCAAAATAAGCATAGTAATATATGCTGTAAATTGCAAAAAAAAGTAGTGGGAAACGAGCAATACTAATGTCATTTGCAATGTTAAAATTAATTCCAAAGGAAAAGAAGAAAATGTGAAGAAATGAAAATGAATTGTCTATTATTTGCCATACCATACTCTGTGTGTTTAGTCATTTGTTTCTTCATTCCCACGTAGATTTCATAATGAAGGCAACTTTTTTGCCAAACTTTTGTTTCATTTGCCCATTTGCATTCAGTTTTTTGGGTTCCCAATTAACAGGATGTCATCCATAGAATCAAATCAACATGGCCTTAATTTGACAAACACCATCATTTCAGCACCATGGAAAGCTCCAAAAGTTGTTTCCTTGTTTTTTCTGCCCTCTTGCATTAGATTTGGAGTCTGCAGAGGATGTCATCCATGAGATTTACTTGCTGTGGCCTAAGTGATTTTTAAAATGCTTTGTTCATGTTGTAAAATTAATGTTACCATCCAATGTTTTTCCTTGACTGTTAGACATCTGGTTGAGTCACGAGTCTTGCCGTGATCTGTACCATCGGCTGCTGAATGCTTACAAGAACATAGCCGTCATGGTCATCACCAAACTAAGGACTGTGGACACTGTACAGGTAAGGGTTCAACAGAGGTGTGAATGTGAGTGCTAATGCTATTGATATGTAATACATGAGCATGTCGGCAGAACTTACTGCGCCTGTGCGAAACCCGTAATTTATTGTGCATAGCACTTCGGCAGAATGTCTCATATAAGGTCATATTCATGTATATAAGGTTAACATCAGAGTAGTTTTCAAATGTTGTGTTGGAAAACATATATTGTATCATCTGCAACAGGCAATAATTCAACTTCCTTTCTAAAGACATGACCCCATAATGTACTTTTTGTGTCTTCCTAATGTTACATAATGCAGCTTTAAGTACCAAAACATTAAATACTTAAATAATCAGATCTGATGTTGCAGTAGTTAGTTTGGTTGTACATTCTGAGGGATACTGTTCTATTCAACAGGCTGTGGAGCTCCAGGGTGACCTGAATTACTCCTTGAGGGTGTTGGAAACACTGAATAGGGTAAGAAATGTCCTATCAGATCTTTGAGTTTGATCTGGTCTTTGATTTTCAATCATGATAACTTTTCTTATGAATTCTTAATTCACTTTAATTAACGTGATAAGAAAAATTTAACAAAATGTTCTATTTTGACTTTACTGTCTTGTCTCCTCCCTTATGTGTGTTTGCCATCCACGTTCCGACATAGCAACATGTTTGCCCATTTTTAGCATATTGGCCACTGTCAGAGGCCAACAAAATTTCTTTTTTTTTTCCAAAATCAGGCAAAAATTAATGTGCGTGCTGATGTCATCCATAAAGATAACTTGCTGTGTCCTTAAGATTTTCACTCTTAGTAAAACGTTGAACTTTATTCCACACACAATTTACAAAATAAAGTTTGACATTTTACCATGATTACTACCTACATGGATGAACTTTCATGATTTTCACTCTCCTTACTGTTGACCCTGTGCAGGTGAACAGCAGGCATGACATGGTCCCGTACGAGCAGTTCTACATCAGCGAGATTAACGGCACGGTGGACATCAAGCGAGACTATCTGATGTGGCTGCAGCAGACTCGAGGCTACAATAACCTGCCGGTATTGCATGGACTGCATGTATGTGTCTGTAATCTGTAGTTTGTGTGTGACTAGAGAGTGCCGTGTGTCGCCAGGGTAAGCATATAACATTGTCACTGCAGAGTGTACTAACCATTGATGTGGTGATAGTTAGTCTCTGCATGTCACAGTTTGGCCATTTTTAACACTCAAAGGATTTTTAACACTCATTGGAAATTTAAACTCTATGACTGGATAAATTACGGAGATACATGTGTAATTTCCAGACATTTCAAATGACATCCACCATTCTTCTACTGAATTAACAGACGTTCTGTCAGTTCATTTAGTGATGCTGAAGAAGAGTTGTGGATGTCACTCGAAACGTTCCCTACATGTATGTTAGTTTAGAAGGATAGGGGGCCACATGACATTGTGTATGTGAGCCTCAGTAGTGTACTGCTTGACCTAAGCTGACCTTTCCTCCCCTAACAGGATGCTGAAAGTCGGCAAGAGGAGGTATGAATCTTGTCCCGACTGTGCTGCTATGTTCTGTCCCACAAGTTGACTGGGTTGAGAAATGCATGTCACTCATCACTATTTGCTGTTGTGATATGTTGAGCAGTTCTTGTGGTGTTTATGTCCTTGAGAATGCAAGTAATTTACTTTGTTCTGTTTCAGTTTGAAGAATTGCTGCCCATCAATTAGTTACAGTTGTATCTTGATATATTATTAAATGTTTTTCTCATCACAAAGTAACAATCATAATTCATGTGATGATTCTAACATAGACTCTGCCATCACTAACTGTAACACATTGTGTTGTGACCATGTGTTTCACTGCAAAGTAAAACCTTAAAAAGTTGTTAAAACCATTTCTTCTCATTGTGTGTACACATATATCATTTTTGCATGATCTTAGCACAACTTTATGATTTAATTTAGCATTTTCTTGACGATGGCAATGTTCTTCAGTCAGTTAACTGTTGACATTATGCGTTTTCATTCCATTTTTCTCAACGTCAGTTTGGAATAATACTACCAACATATGTGTCTGCATGGTCATCCAAGAAATTTTGGTTTCTACAAATTAAGAATTAAGCAGGTTTTTGTTGTTGTTTGTTGCCCCTCTGTAGGACATCTACTTCTGCAGTTTTCCCTTTGTGTTTGATGCTCAGGCCAAGACAGAGCTGCTCCAGACAGACGCCTTTCTTCAGATGCAGGTAGGAGGATGACTGCCAACTTAAAGATTGTAACGCTGCATTTAACTGATTCATTTCATTGTCTATTACTGTTTGTACATTGTAACTAGTAGTACCGTTAAAAAAAAATGATAATAAACAATTGACACCTTTGTTAATAGAAAGTGACATTGCTTTGATTAAATAGTAAATACATTTACATGATTACGAAAGTACAATTGAATAGTATTACAAGTAAAGTTCTTTATTCACAACCACTTGTGTAACAAGAGACAACGTTTTGATGACCGTCTTAATCAGGGCAATAAATTAAATTGAAGCAAACCAGTCATTATAGCCCAGGTGAAAATGACAGACAGTCATCAAAACATAGGCTCTTGTCAAACAAGACGTGGTTGTGAATAAAGAACTTGGAGTAGTCAAGCATTTACCGACCTGATGAAATTGTTCACGGATACAGTGTTGTGTGTTATAAAGAGAGCCTCAAAACCCCTTCTCCTTCAGCTGGCAGTTGAGGAGGTCCAAGCCCGTAATTTCCAGAGCCTGTTCCTGCCCATTGACCCCGTAAACCCCTACCTGGTGCTGATCGTGTCCAGGGAGAACCTGGTACAGGACACGCTCAACCAACTCATGAAACAGGCCAGCGCTGATCTCAAGAAACCGCTCAAGGTGGGAGGGCTAAACTTTTTATGATGGTTGCAATGGGTTTGTTGGTAGACTGGTTGATTGAATGGTTGGTTGGTTGGTTGGTTGGTTAATCATTGATGGTTGGTTGCATGGTTGGTTGGTTGGTTGTCGCCTTAATTCTTGTTTAAAATGATAATATATGTTTTGGACCTTAGTTTCCAATCTGGCAAACTTTTAAAAAATTTGTCTTCAAAATTTACACACTCAGGTGATCTTTATTGGGGAAGAAGCAATAGATGCAGGTGGTCTGAAAAAGGTAAGAATTATTAGGTAGCAAGGATACGTCCTACTTTGACATGTTAGAACACAACTGCATTATTTTGTATACCATTTATTATAGACAATGATCATATCATTCACAATGAAAATAATGACAACTATACGCCTCTTGAATTAAACATTGCAGTTCAACAGTTATATGAGGTGCTTCAAATTCCTTTTTCTGCTTTTAGGAATTCTTCCTTCTGATCATCAAAGAGGTGATGGACCCCAAGTTTGGTATGTTCCGCCATTACGAGGAGACCCAGTCAGTCTGGTTCCACGACAGGGTAAGGATCATCTCACACAAACAGTCTCTACTGTTAACTTTGTACTCTAGGAGATACATGTGTACCCTTACTGTGTACCAATGGGAAAATATATCTAAGAATGTTTAGAGCAACTAGTAATTTATGTGATAATGTAAATCACTTCATGTTTGCGGTAGCAAAAGTTCACGATCTGAGAAAAATGGACATGTTTATGGAACTACAGTATATGTTCGCACAATGGGTGCAGCAAAAAGAATGTCAGCGAATTATTAATTTTGTTCACAGTTGTGTAAAGATAAATTCATGGTACAGAAGTGACAACAAAAAATGCGAAATTTAAAGTACAACGAACAAATTATGATTTACAGTACTTTACTGTATATGTAGGATAATCCATTTGTATTCATAGTTACTGTAACAGTTGTACAATGTACAATCATGTAGTAAACCTTATGAAAGTCACTGTAGTTTTGTTATGACAACAACAGCTTCAAATATAATATTGGCCTGATGAGCATAGTATGCATCCTAAGGTAACATAATTCTTGTGGAATTTGTACTGGAATAAATATATTAAGCAGTTATTGAAAGTTTACAGATTCATCATCCTGTTGTGTCATTTGTCTTCTATCCAGTCGTTTGAAGAGAGTTCCATGTTCTTCCTGATTGGAGTTCTCTGTGGTCTCGCCATCTACAACTCCACCATTATAGACCTGCCCTTCCCACTCGCACTGTACAAGAAACTGCTGAAAAGGTACAGGTTCATGTAGCTCAGGATCATTCACTCACACTTACTATATCCGGGTTAGAGTCTGTTGTTTCTGGACTCCCAAGGGTTAGACGTGATATGGAGTAATAAATGCTAACTTTGGTTCTGTATCGATGAGGCTAGTTTCTTAATTTCAGAACCCATTATGAAGATACTATGTTATGTTTTTTTATTAATTGCCTTTGTCAGAAGGGTATGTTTTAGGTTTGGGCTTGGTGGAGTAGCTGTGGTGTGGGTCTGTATGTACTTGCAGGTCAATGTCATAAGTCAAGTAGTTATGGATTTATATTATGATGTATATGTGGGTAGCTGTTGTGGAAATGAAGGTTGAGTTAAAATATGGTCCACCTGGCTTTTTCCAGCGGTACTGCAGCAGGCTTTTTATGCATTTGTTGATTGTTCAGCATAACTCGAGAAGCTTTGAATGAATATGATATTTGGTAGGTGAGTAGCAGAAACAAAGTTCAAGTTCCAAAATGGTCATCCTGTACTATTGATCCTACATTTGTACATTGCTGCAGTCATTGCTACACCAGCAGTCAGGATGGTTGTTAATGATATTTAGTGAATGGTTAGTGTCAACCAAAATTAAGGTAAAGTTTTATAATGGGCCACCCAGCAGCTATTTAAGATATTGCAGCGTAGTGTCAAGTATGAGGTAAAATTTCCTGCAAGTGTCAGGTTAACGGTTTCCTGGGTATTAGAAACCTGTTGGGACTGGGAGTAAACAGTGTAATTTTGGGCATATTATCAGCTTGTTTGGAACTGTAAGGGGCTTTTTTGTTTTTGATTTACAAAATATTAATGTAATAATTCAAGCTAAGGAATCTGCATATATTTTACGTAGGTATATACTTACAAGTTAATGATTAACATATAGAGAATCTGATACATTTTGTATACAGATCAAAGAATATGATATGTACGATCTGTCTGAAATGGAAAAAAAAACACAGCAAAAGTCAGTAATGAACCATCCCTATAGCTACAACCTGGTTAATGATTGACAACTTTGCGCCCCCTCTAGCCCAGCATCAGTCATTGTGTGGAGTTTTTAATGTATTAATAAAATTTGGAGCATATTAATGGCCACATGACCATTGCCTCTATTGTTTAACAGCAGCAACTATCATAAATTCGCTGGACATAATAATGGTCGATTTTAAGAGATTTACAATTTAAATACAGCATCAGTAATCCCCAAGGTCTGCCCACTCCAGACATTTCAGGTGCTAAAGACATTCTTGAGATGATATCAATAGCACCATAAAACTACTTATTAAATACTTGAACTTTGATGTGGGGCGAGGCTGCCAAATCAGCAGCAAACAACGATCATGGCGGCTGCACCGTGTAGTTTGGGGACACAAATCTGTGAAGAACTGTCCTGCAGCATCTGCCTGGAGCTGTTCACCAGGCCCAAGGTGCTGCCCTGTCAGCACACCTTCTGTCAGGACTGTCTACAGGACCATGCAGAGGTTAGAAAGCCCTTCCAGTGTCCCAATTGTCGGCAGGAAGTCAGGCTGCCACGTCAAGGGGTCGCTGGTTTGCCCGACAATCGTATTGTGGCCAACATGAGCGAGAGGTTCCAACAACAAGCTACACTGTCAGAGGAAACAAGTAAGCAACCCCAGCCTGAAAAGAAGTGCAGTTTCCACCCTGCTGAGGAGGTCAGGCTTTACTGTAAACGGTGTAAAGTTCCACTTTGTCATGACTGTTTTGAAGAAAGCCATGACGAACATCCAACAATGAGCCTCAGAAAAGCCATCCAACAGCATAGAGGTCCAGTCCAGGCCTTGATCACTGAGGGGAGGAACATCTTAGAGACCTACTGTAGCTTCATCAGAGGTCTGAGAGAAGAAGAGAAAAGTCTGGACAATCAGAAACAACAAACAGACAACGAAATCGAGGAGGCCTACAGACAAGCCTGTAATCTAATCATCCAGATGCTGACTGAGGAAAAAGATTGTCTGTTGTCAGAAGTTGATAAAAACCACAGACAGAACAAGGGAGCCATACAGAGCCAAAGAGATGCAGTTTTGACTGATGTCGCTGAACTGTCTTCTGCCTGTGATGGGGCAGAGCAGGACATGGCTCGAGACGACAGAGAGTTTCTCAGTTGTGAATCCAAACTAGACGTGGTTGTAGGAAAGTTCAGAGAAAAGTCTGTGCCAGTTCCACATCACACCCACGCGGCTGTCTTTGAGCCAACAGAGAACTTAAGTTGTACACTGGGAAAGGTAACTGTCCTAGGGGCAACAGCATCTAGTGATGCTGCCACAACAATCATAGGTCATCGCCATGGTGACCAAAGCCACACTGTGTCCATACAGAGGTTTACCTTTGGTAAAGATGGTTCAAAAGTAGGTCAGTTCAAAGGGGCTTTTGGAGTTACAGTGTCAGAAGAAGGGAAGATCTTTGTGGCAGATTGTGGAAATAGGAGAATCCAAGTGTTCACCCTGCAGGGAACATTTGTCAGGCACTTCCCAGCAGTCGTGACTGGTAAAGAGAAGATGAAGCCATGGGGTGTGGCCATGGACAGGGAGGGGAACCTGTGGGTGGTGGGGGGTACAGACTCTGCTGAGTTTGCTGTGCAGTACAACAAAAAGGGCAGAAAGCTAAGGAAGTTTGACTTACAAGAGACAGGGCGTATGAGAGGAGTTGCCGTGGACACCAGGAGGAACCTCATCCTCATTACACAACCCACAGGAGACTGGCCCAACCTGTATGGTGAAGTGCAGGTATTCAGGCCAGATGGAACACTTGTGAGAACTGTGGGTCAGCAGCAAGGGATGAAGTACCCTGAGTACATCACTGTGGACGGGGAAGGGAACATTCTCGTGGCAGACCATGAGAGTCACTGTGTGTATGTGTTCAATGAGGACGGACAGTTTCTGTTCAAGTTTGGAGGTTATGGACATGGTGAAGGTCAGCTAAATAATGCCTGGGGCATCTGTACAGACAGGGCAGGGAATATCATCATTGCAGACAGTTATAGCAGCCGTGTGGAGATGTTTGACACTAGAGGCAGATTCATGAAACACATTGCTACAGACATGACACAGCCATGTGCTGTTGCCATGGCACCACAGGGACAGCTGGTGGTCACCGATACTGTGGATAAAACTGTCACTATTTTCAATCACTATAGCAACCTGTCTGTGGATAGAACAGTCACCAAAACTGTTCAGTATAAGTAGAATTTCATTCATGGTCCCTTTTCTGTGTCATACAAAAAAGGAGACATTCATTTTTAATTCACAAATTTTTTAAGAAACAATCATGTTATTTGAAATAAGATCCTCTTTGTACATTTACTACCACCGTTACGGGGGGAAGTGAGTGGAAGAAAAACTAGGTCATCTCACAAACTCGATAGTATCCACTGCAAATCAGAAAGATATAACTCTAGTGCAATACCTCACATGGTGCGACTGTTGAACCTGTAAGAAAAAAAACTGCCCTATTCTAAATTATATTGTATAATGTGTCTTCATGAGATCTTTTAAATATTTTAAATTTGTTATTGTGTAATTTAGCTACAGTATAACTACGCTTTTAATATTGTACCCTGTATAGTTAATGTTTTTATCATCTGTTGTTAATGGAACCCCCACGCAATTCAGTCTGTGACTGCCATGTGGGAACCATTGTTATGTGTTTTACATGAAACAAATAAACCAGTATTATTACATGAAATAATCTATAATTGTTAACAGATTTTTTAGCATCTTAGACGGTCAGTTCTACTTTGGCTTATAGCATCTTAAAAGCAATGTCACCTAATATGTACTATATATACAATGGGGTTAATTGCACTGTTTAATCATGATTGTGTCAATGAAGGCTAGACAACCAGCTAATAAGATACATGTACACGGAAAACAGTAACTGTTGTTTTGAAAATTATCTATTCAATTGCTGGACACTGTGGACGAAAAGTTGGATTTTCCAATGAAAGTAATCCCAGTAAAATAGGGTACTGTTAAGTTTGTAAGGAGTACCAAACTGACGTGTAAAATATAATCATGGTAGTAAATAAGTCTCATAATTTCATTTACTATGGTAACCAGTACCATTGTTAAGTCTGAAATTACTGGGCTTGACTTTAATGTACTACTGTTACTACCATTTACAACTTAAGTAAACATTACCCAACTTCAATGGTACAGGTAGCTACTACCGTACCGGTACCATAATATTTGTAAATTTAACTTTTTTGTGAAGTGTGACTGTTTTCTTGCCTAATACTGAAGGTTTTACAGTATATGAAACAGTTACTGTATTCTGCTAAATGTATTCTGTTATTACAAGGCAGATGTAAATACCAAAATGAATAAACTATCAGAATAACCTCAAATGACTACATGTATGCTATCTTTGGAGGTACATGTATATTATAGAGTCTGACATAACCCTGTTATTTTAGTGATAATACAGTTTATACCCTCGCTTATCTGACCTTGGCTTTGAAGAGATCTACTAATGCAGCATCTCAGTAATAACAAGACAAGTGTTCAAGTCATTCTTGACAAGACGTTAACAACACCATTAAAAATACTAACACTTAAAAAAACACTTTATAAGGCGAAGGTATGTGTTCCTGAAACTTGACATTGTTGTAGTTCTGTATTGGAATTTGAAATATGTACATAACTATGAATTACAGGTACTGTAAGAAGGCTGCAGTATCAGTCAAATTGTCAAAATGGGGTTCAGTGGTTCCCACGCTGGCCTTGTGATGAGTAATGGCAAAATGTGCTGTGTATACATCGTATGGAACTCTGAAATTCAATCGTTATGATGAATGTAAAAAAAAAATGTGTGAGTAGTGTAACAGTGGGGTTCAAGCACCACCAACTGACCTGTCCAACTGGTCCAGACCTTTTAGCCTTGCAGTTAGTATGTTTGGTTTGTGTGCTAGCGGCCTGGGTTTGAATCCTTGCCCCTTTGTGCTTCAATAATAAAAAGTATTTTTGCTCAGTTTCTTCTTCAAAACAAAGTCAATGACCTGGAGCAGATGTCTGTCACCATGGTAACTGGTGTTGGTAGCAGACACCCTGTGATGTTGGGTTACATTATGTAGCAGGACAGAGTTGGATATGAATATGAATGTGTTTGAGTACGAATAAACAGAGCCATAGTTTATTGGGCTACGCTATGTGAAGGTTAACATTATGCATATTATTGCTTTGCAAATTTTACATTTCAAGTTTTTAGTAATAAGATGTAATATGTCAGTGTTGATCCAGTCTGTGTGACCAATCAAGCCTTACCTGTTCCCTGTGTTTTGTAGGAATGTGACCCTGGATGACCTGAAACAGATGCAGCCTGATGTGGGCAGTGGTTTAGAACAGCTGCTGGGGTATAATGGAGATGACTTCGAGGATGTCTTCTGTTTGAACTTCACAGTAAGTATAACACTTGAGTCATCTCTTTGATTTTGGAGGGTACAGTACAAGTAACTAAAGCGGATATGTTAAAATGTAGAGCAGTTATATGGTTGACCAACACAAATAAAAAAATAAGCAAGCCAGGTGAGATACAGTACGGGTTATATACGAAGAAAAAACCCTTGTTCAGCAGTAACTGTTGATGTTATATTTATTTCTGCACTGTTCTCCCCCAGATTGCATGTGAATACTACGGCAGCATTGAGACGGTGGAACTGGTCAAGAATGGCAACAACATTTCTGTCACCAAGGAAAACAGGTTTCTCTCAATTCTACGTGTATCTGTATTTCTCAAGCCTTTTTTCTGTACTTGCAATGACAATTGATGTAGAAGAATATGATGTAGTCCCATAATTGTGTTATTTTTCCTCCCCCAGGGAAGAGTATGTGAACGCCTATGTGGAGCATGTACTGAACAAGTCAGTGGAGAATCAGTTTGATGCCTTTGGGACTGGCTTCCACAAAGTGTGTGGAGGAAAAGTACTGGTAGGACAGTGGATTGAAACCTTCCAATTGAGAAATGATAATTCTACATATGATACAGTTTTTTAGTCTTATCTGAGTTAAAGGACTGTGTTGTTGTCTTCTTTTGTTACTGTAATTCACTTTATATTCTGTGTCCAAGATTCTTACTTTATCCAATTTTTCTAGGAACTGTTCCACCCCAAAGAGCTGATGGCCATGGTGTGTGGAAACGAGAACTATGACTGGGCAGAACTGGAGAAGAATGTGGAGTACAAGGGAGTCTACCACAAGAACCACCCCACCATACACATGTTCTGGGATGTCTTCCACCACATGACACTGGAGGAGAAAAAGAAGTTCCTCTGTGAGCACACAATACCTCCTTTACTCCTTTTGCAAAGAAGTCTGATTCAGAATCAAGGATTTTTACCTCATCTAATCTAAAGATACTGAGTGTCCCTGAGATTCAATGTGAATGTATTGCGAGACCTCTGAGTTTACAGAGCTAGGGCGTCGGTGTTCCAGGAATCTTGTTTTTAGTGCACGTTCTGTCTCACTTATACATGTTTCTTTGCATGAAAGATGAACTTTCATACTAAGTAAAAGTTGATACAATGTATAATATACATTTTCCTTTCCCTTCAGTGTTCCTGACGGGTTGTGACAAGATCCCCATCCTGGGTATGAAGGCCCTGAAGATCTACATCCAGCCTACCATGGGAGGGGACAGCTTCCTACCCGCAGCTCATACCTGCTTTAACCTGCTGGACTTACCCATGTACACAAGTAGGGAGGTCCTCAGAATCAAACTCACACAGGCCATAGAGAACACATCAGGGTTCGGTCTGGTGTAGACAGCTCTTTTTCTGTTGTTGTAATAGTTCTGTTTTTGTACTCCAGTTCTTGTTTATAGTTGCTCATACCTGCTTTAACCTGCTGGACTTACCCATGTACACGAGTAGGGAGGTCCTCAGAATCAAGCTCACGTAGGCCATAGAAAACACTAAGTGTTTTCTTCTTCAAGCTTCAATCTGGTGTAGACAACTTGGTTTTTTGTTGTTTTTTTGTTGTTGTTGTTGTTCTGTTTTTGTAGTCCCAGTTATTGTTTATAGCTGTTGTTTTTTCTAGGCATCTGTGATGACATGCAGTCATTTTTGTAGGATCACATACGTTGTACTCTGAGCAAGATGGTTGCATACAATATTGCCTAGTGGCAACATCTTTTGCATAGAGACTGCTCTGCTTGCATTGATTATCAAAATCCTATCGAAATATGATGTCATATAATATAAATGATCACTGTACATTGCACATGAGAGAGGTCAACGCACTTACCATCATATTGTTTGTAGCCAAGTTATTTTCACCCTTGTTCCCATCAGTAGAAGAAAGGAACATGACTGTTATACTTGACATCACATATTGTGATTTTCACATTGTTCAGAATTCTAGACAGTTTGTTTGGTAGCAAAAATGTTTTGAATAGCAGTGACGATGGCGTGATAGATGTGATTTTTAAAGTTTTGAGAGATGGTGCAAATTGTCAATTCCTGACAATGGTGTTTTGAGAAGGCCTGACAGTGGTATATGCATTAAAGGGTTATGATCAGAGATATGTAGCTGGAGCTCTGCTAGAGTGTAAGCTCTTTACTTAGTCTTTAAACAGTTGGTTATGATTGATAAATGTTTAGATTCCTTACAACGGCAGTAGTGAAAATAGGACCTGGTGATTATGAAGCACAAAAGAAAGTGTTCAGACTGAAATGTATGTGTATAAGGGAGAATGGCACTGGAATACATGTAGTTTACAGATGGTTAAAGCATGTACATGTAGACTAAGTGCTAATATTTTGATCCACAGTTTCTGAACTAGGGTTGGTTACAGACTGCAGTTGTTTGTAGACCAAAGACTGTTGCCCCTTGTGATCTATTTTGCACTGAATAAAGTTTGCAGGGGCAAGCACATGTTCATACAGGTGTTGTTGCAGGCTGTCTTTTTTCATAAATTGGCAGAATATCTTTAGCCAAGATGGCAAAGTACATGCTACATCTACATAATGAATACTCACTCAAAGTCTTCAGACATTAAACAACACAGTCAGATATTATGGTTGACAAGGATATTTTATTTCATCCAAGAAAATAATTTCGGGGAATACAGGTTCAGAATCTTATAAAAAGTAGTTCATGATATATAATACATGTATTTCTTAAAAAATTGTTACACTCATATCACAACAATCATCACAAGACTTAGTATACAATGAATATTACAAGGCTTATCAATAGAGTAGTAGCAGTAAGAGTATATCTACATTGCAGTAGAGAATAATAAGTCTTTTGGTCCTTGCAAAATCACCTCCTATATATTAGTGAAGTTATTACATATTGAACATGCTACAAATGTCTTTAATTACTTGAGTCTCAGGTTCAATACAAGTATTGTGCTGATCAGTGAGTAATAGCAAGTCTACACTACAAAATGCTAACATGTTAACATAATAACAGCTAAAAATGGATGAAACAAAGCTCTGCTGAAATACCTTAATCTTAAGTTATTTAAGGAAAAAAATTATATCCAAATGTGATAAGAGAAACGATGACCAGCACCGTCACTCTTCGCATAATATTCAATGCATTCTGTGAGAATCCATTAATAACTTTTTCAATCTACCGTCTACCATCATGATCTTGTAATACATGGGGAATGTACACAATCATGCTTAACAACGGTTACTATAAATAGATTCCTGTGTAAATTTTACAGAAATGTATGGGTAGTACATAATGTAAAACAGTCTGTTCATGTGACAATAATATGGCCAAAGTGACATGCCATTGAGTACCTTTTATTATTATAGTAAATCTCTCTAGATTTCATAGTTCCTGAGGTATGCTGTTGCATCCAACATTTTGCAATTATGGCAAGAAAAGAGCTGTAAATATTGCATCCAAGTTTTTTTTCAATCCAACTGAGGTGTACATGTCTAAGGCAACTTGTATGAATGGCGACAGTCTCTGATCAAACTAATGTGAAAAGAAATACAGGCATATACATGTAGAATCTAATACACAAGCTAAAATGCACTTAATATACAGTAGAAGCTCACACAAACACAGACATTAAAACAGGACAAAGAAATACACAATCATGAAAGTTTTTCCTGCATTAAGTGCCCCGACTGCATGTTTGTATTGATGCCAAAGGATACTTTTTGCAGGTATGCAAACAAAAATCTCTATGCTTGCATGCATAATTATTGTATTCTATAGCCCCAATTTCTTTCACTGCTTCAATTTTTACTGTAACAGTTATTCATTTGGCTTTGGCTTGAGAGTGACCAACCTAGTTTGATATTCATACTCCAACATTTTTGCAATCTTAAATTTCCCCAAATACCAGTGAGAACATGCTTTGAGCCTTTTCATTGGGACACTGGAAAAATAGCGAAAAGTGTCCAATGCAATTTCAGGGCAGCAAACCAAATAATATAATTCTGGATGAGGATATCTGTCCGGTATTGACATTTACTACCATGCATTCCTAGCATACTTGAAATAGCCCCAAATCAAGGCACGTGTGACGTATAATTGTTTTTTGGGTACCACCAATAAATAGCTAGAACCAGCCTACAATACAAGACAAGTGAATGTTTTCTGCCAGTGACATCAAATTTTTGCCTCACAGATATCAGTATGCTATGGGAGAGGATTGATTCAACTTACTACTTGTACATTTAAAAAATGGCCAGAAAATTGACTTTGAAAATCCAGTTTTGTCACCCTAGCTGAAATTGCATTGGGTGATTCTGCTTGCAGTGGTTGATTGTGATCTAGTTACAGCATCGTGCTCTGTTCTTCCACCTCATCTCCACCCTGTAACACCAAAGACAAAAAAAGCACGGCTAACTACACAGGACACACATACAGGGAGAACATTGATGCAACATGTATCATTACCATGAAAGCTCAACAGTTGGTGAGTAACTGGCAACTTCAACCTTTTTCCCACACAAAACCTTGAAGACGGTCTTTTGATTGTTACCGGTATATTCAGATTACTTGTCGAGGATATGGTAATTTCATGTTTCATGAGTCTCGGGTTATAAGTTAGTGGTGTCCATTTTGTATGGGGAAAAAGTCGAATCTCAGAGATGTAGCACAAATGTAGACAGGGGAAGATTTAGGTAACACAGTGTAAGTAGGTTGAGGAGTGACAGAATTCATGTGTCATAGAAACAAGTGAGGCATAAAGAACACTATATATAGCCTTCAGATGATACAAATTGCATGCAATATAGAAGCATGTTCTTTGCAGGATCATACATTGTAAAACCACAGAATGATACTGTACTGCATCTATTAATTTTAGTTTTAAAAAAAGACCTCTATTCCGGATTCCATAAAAGTCAACTGTACAGGTGCACTTAACTTATCACATTATAAACAGCTTTTTATGGCTATATACACAGATTGATGTAATGCTGTACTGTATTCAGTAAAAGTCAAGATTTAAGTTAATGCCATAAGGTACAAAAAATACATTTTCATTCCAGTTAATGAGTTATTGGAGTGACAGTTCAACTGTTGTCATCATACATTTCCCACACCATGTTAAAAGAATTGAAGATGTTAATAGATGCAAATGAGTTCAGATTCTGTCAAAGACATACAGATTTCACACCGGTTAGTTCAAACTTCTCTCACAAGCACCGCATCTGCAGCTTTTCAACCAGTGAAAATGTTGAGGGTAGCAGAGAGGTCAGAAGTCTACACCACACTCACAGCAATGTGTTGTACCTCATCTTCCTCATCATCCCATATCAAAGCATCAATGTCTGTTACCGGAACGGGTTCTCCATGGACCTGGCTGGCTGGAGAAGACATCAGTATGGTCTCCAGAGGCTCCGACCTCCTCTGTTTGCTTAAGCTGAGGACCTGGGTGAATGGGGTGGGAACTGGTGCAAGAATGCCTGGCACGTCACTGGGCTTCTTCTTGGGGGTAGAGGTGTCCGTGATGGCACTGTCGAAAGTTTCCCTGGTGAAGGGGTTGTCCTTGGGTACGTTGGAGTTGTGGTCGGTCGGGCGGACGCTTGGCAGGAGGTCTGGGGGGTCGGAGAAAGGGAGGGGAGGAGGGGGAGGATAATCCTCTGGTGGATAATCCTCTGGTGGATTATCATCTTGTAGTTGAGGAGGCGGGTTTGGGAAGGGTGGAATATCTGGCTGACTAGTCACCATCAAGGCAGCAGCAGTTGGGGAAGGGCCCATAACTGGGGAGAGATGGACAGGCTCACTGGCAAAGTCACTTTTGGCATCAGCATCATCGGGAATGTCCACTGCAGTCTTGTCTTGATCCGTGGAATCTGTTTTAACATCTGCAGCCCATGTTACTCCTTTGGCCTTTGGTTTCTCTGTCGAAGGTTTCCTGCCTTCAGCTGCTAAAACTGTTGCTAATACGAGATCGTCTACTTGTGCGCTGCTCGGGTCATGAATATCGGAATCTGATAACCGTTGACCTCCGGCTGGTCCATAGCCCTGCTGGTCCTGTCAAGGAAAAGTACAAAGGAATGAGGCTTCTGTGGTATACCTGAAATAATACCACCTGTTTGTTACAGATAAACAAAAAGGCATAGCGATAGAAGAGAAAGTCAGCTTAAGAGCTCAGTGCAACCTTCTTCCTGCAGATAAGGCTAGCTGTCTCAGCAAGATTTCTTATTGACAGAAATTTCTTATCTTATGTGACAAGACAAGCCAACTGTTACAGGGAGAGGCATGACTGTAGACAGCAGGTTGTGCAGAAAAAGGGGCATGCAGTGCGGCAGACAGATCGAGGCACCTGTGTCAGAATTCTGTACAAACTAGATGAGTGGTTAGCATGCTAGAAATGACCTGATCATGCAGATAAAAAATGATGGCTTAACTCATCACCTACATATGTACATACAGTTCAATGTTATCATGCATGCATTCAAATCTGGGGGGGGGGCAGGGTCATGGTGCATGCAATTTACACCGTAAACAGTCTACTCTAGAATGTATTAGCTACGTTTTCTGTGGATAGAGGTCACATGACAAGTTTGCTTTAAACCTTGGGCCAGAGGTCAAGTGTCAAAGGTCATAATCTGGTGAGGGCCTCCTCCATTTCATCCTGCATATCGAGGCCTTCTGTGCTGATATCCTGTAACGACTGGAAACACATCGGCACAAAGTTCAAAGGTCAGCTAACATGCAACATTGCTGCAATAGAGGGATTTGTGATACAAGGTAATTTTATATCAATAAATAAATGTCCTTTGTTGTAAAACAGTAGGCATTCAAGGACATCTACAAGTTTGAGACATCGGCCAGAGCAGGCCTTCTAAACCACGGCTGCTTGGTCCATAGACCTGTAACATGTTCAGAGGAACATGGCATCACAAAACCTTCCATAGAAAATCACAAGCTGCAAGCAGGCTAGAGGAAGACACAGGCAGGCAAAGTCAGGGCAAGTGGCTGTTTGAATGACTGAAAAGGGTTTACGGAAAAGGCTGGGTGCCTCTAAGACTTCTCATTTGTGAGGATATGAATGGGGGAATAAGCTGACATGTTAGACAACTCAGGTACACGTACAGCCCAGCTGGCCAGGCCAGGCACCCAGCCTTTTCCGTAAACCCTGATTGAAATTTACAGTAAGATTTACAGTGTGAACTTCGACATGACATAATCTCTCTTCACCTCTACGGTGATTACCAAAAAACAGTATTTGAATTTAGTTGCAAAGCCTAAATATTTGATTAACAGAATATGTGCTAAAGTTTGAGAATCTTAATATTGAAGCCACTACTGAAACATGTTGTACCTGTTGAATAAGGTGCTGTGTGTCCCCGTTTCCTTGTCCATGGCTGGCATCTTTCTGCTGCAAGTCATTCATCGGGGCCACCCATGTCTCCTGTACATCATCACTAAGGTACACAGAGTTGGAGTTAGAGGTAGTTATTCGTGCAGTATGTCATCTATTCAGTCAGTTGCACTTCACAGTAACTTCAGCACCAAGGAGAAACACCAGATAGACAAAGAGCAATATTTCTCTTGACATATTTTCCAAATCAGGTTACATAACTTTATTTCCAACTATCTTATACTATATTTATCTATTTATTTAACATTGCCAATTTCAAACAAGACCTACCCACCTACCGAATATCAAGATAATCCATCTAAGCCTTCTCAAGTTATGCTCTTCACAAACACACACACACACACACACTCACACACACACACACACACACACACACACACACACACACACACACACACTCACACACACACACACACACACACACACACATCCACAAAAACATGACCATCTTGGTGAAATGAACAAAGAAATAAAAGGAAAGCCTAACATCTAAAATCCATACTACGTGGAGTCTTTACATGTTTGATATTGTTAGACTAAGATTGTCTGTTCTGTTGTTTACACTTACTTCTGTATGACCTGTATAGTGGGTCCCTCCATGGTGGTGTCCACGTAGGTAGGGTTGGTGAGGACCAGGTTGTTTTCCTCACTCACGCTGTACTTCTCAAACATGCTGACCTCGTTCACATTCTCCATCACACGTCTGGGGGGCAAACAGGGATCATGATGTTTTAAAAAATCAATAACAGGCTTAGAAATAATGTAAATTACAGTACTTTTTATATTTGCAGTTTTCAAGATCACTTCTGTACCGTGAATTTATCATTACCATGAAAAAATCATTTGCAGACTTTCTTTCTTCTGCACCTGCCACCACCGTGAACATACAGTTCTGCGAACATGACTGTCCATATTTCTCAGATCACAAAATTTTGCTACTTTTGCAATTTATATATAAATTGAATCAATAGCGTTAACTCTATCAATTGGAGTAACTATTACTATTCCTGTGGTACATCTAAATCAGCCAAAGGCACCTAGATTTCCAAAGTAGGGTCTTCCTGTGCTTACTTTTTCCATGAGGCATGTACTGCATACACAGCAATCAGACCTCCAATCAAGATCACTCCTGCCACGGCAATAAGAGAACCTTCCAGAACACCAATGGTGGTGTCTGTGTACAGCTGAGGAACTGGTTGTGAGATGCGGTTGCCAGAGAATCTATCCAGGAATTCCTCCCACTGCTCTCGATTAGCTGCAATGACACTGAGAAACAGAAAACAATGTTGGAAACAATCAATAGAGTTCATCTGTAGTACATGTTTAAAGTTAAAACTTTGGATCCAACACAACAAATGGTTTTCACCTTGAGCTTTTGACCAGTCACTCTGGATTGAAATTTTTAACTTTAAACATGTTGGAAACAAATTAATAATTTCTTATGCCTATAAGTCTCCCTCTTATGATCTTCAGCCATGCAAATGAACTTAATCTTATCAGAGTTTGACTCCATAAATTACCAAGGAGAAAAAAACTCACTTTTCCACATCTGACGTTTCCACAATCTCATTGGTTTGAGGATCCACAGCATAGAACCAGATTTCAGACCTACAGAAAAGAAAGACAACACAGTTGTGTTAAACATGGATTGTAAGAATATACTGGCACGGTTTTTGTTCCCTTCACAAAATTCAGAATTTAAACTGACTTGAGGTTATGTGGCATAATGGCAGAGTGCTCAACTCGGAACCAAGAGGTCCCGGGTTTGAGTCCTGACATGCCCCATATCTTGTGCCCTTGGGAAAGGCACTTTACATGACTTTTCCCACTTAACTCTAAACTTAAAATGAGTATTGTCTGTCCTGTGTTTCTTTCTATTGTGTAGGACACAACACCAGCAACAGCTACCTTTGTCCCACGTGTTTTGTACAGTTGTAATTGCAATGAATTGAATCAAATCAAACTGTTACATACATGTAGATGGAATTTGTTATGAGACAAGACTCACGCGCTGAAGTTAGTTTTTCCCGAGTCCTCCTCTAGAGGAACGATCTTATGCACGTTGATGTCGTAGCCGGTGATGTTTTGGAGGAATTCTGCTATCTCCTCCTGGTTTTCCACAGCAACAGAGGGAGACAACCCTGCCTCCAGGATAACATGCTGGGTGAAGGTCAGCACAAATACCTGAAAGTGCAGAGATCAAAAATCAGTGAAACATAAGTCTCCTAACCCATTTATTTTTCAAAGAGTCAGACAATTCATCACCCACTGCCTCCAAAGAAGAAGTCAACCCCCCTAATAGCTTGACTAGAATAGTATAGTATGATAGAGTTATAGTTACCACATCACTAAAAGACTTACTGTGACTTCAGTTGAATTTGAGTTGCCATCGTTGTCTTCTACCTGTACCCCAAACTTGAACTTGTCTCCGCTGCTCCCTGCAAATGATATTGCAGTCAGCAGAGTTCCCGTGCTGCTCTCCAGTTCAAACTGGTCAGGCTTGGTCCCTACAAAACCGTACGTGAGCTCAGCATTGGAGCCAGTGTCTGCATCTGAGGCCTAAGAGTGGAAAAAAAATGATAAATTAAACATATTGTTTAAGTTGGATCACTAGAGATTGCCAAAGTCTACCTACCGACCCAAATATTTTCAGGACTAAACACTGGAAACACAATATTTTTTACCTCAGAATTCGGTTAAAAGACCAAAGTACAAGGTCTATGATGTCTTACCTGTAACTGCATAACTGTATACCCTATAGGAGCATCATCAGGGATGCCTTTTACATAGCTGCTCTGAGAGAACACAGGTGGGTTGTCATTCTGATCTCCGACTTCCACTGTTATTACAATCTGGTTAGCTGGGATTGCTGGATGGTGGTACAAAAACATGATAGTTTTTAATATAACGTTAGATCCTAGATGAAGATATGTTAGTACAGGATTCCTTAGCAGACAAAAAGATTGCTCTACATTCTCATCTATCATTATTGTATTACTAATAGTATTATGTTTGTGGGCCTGGTATAGCAGTACTTTCCCAGAACATCCACTTTGGTTAAAGGATTACAGCTTTTGCACAGACGTCTGGTTCAGGTCATTGACCTTATTTGTTTGGAGAAGAAGATACAGAGCAAAAACAGTATATTGTCCTTCGGTAAACATAATAAAGAATCAAAAATTAGATGAAAATTGAAGCTGACCTCTCTTCCTTCTCCTGCTGTCACATCCCCCAGTACCATTGACCAGAATAGCCTCCACTGTCAGAGTGTACACGGCCGTATCTTCACGGTCTAGCTCTCTGGTGGTGTACAGTTCACCTGTCTTGTTGTTCAGAGCAAAGTTTCCTGGGAAATACATTGAACAATCTAAAGTTAGATGCATAACAACAATCTACATCTTGGGACTCTCCTTGGTGCTGAAATGCTGGTGTTTTTCAAACATACTCTTCGCATTGTTTTTACAACATTTTATGTAGGTTTAATTAGGTTTAGCTACGGAAATAAAGAGAATCTTTCTACACAACCATGCATGTACTTCATTTACCCATCATTTCAGTGGCTGTCTGTCACCTTCCTCAGGGCAATTCTGACTGGTTCAACTTTATGAAGCTATTCACGGTTTAGCTACCTGCAGTTGCAGTGGCAAATGGACACCTTTCTCCATCCTTAATTTTTAAAAGCTCACAAAAACAATTCCCTGTAAACAGGGAATTGTTTACAGGGAATGAGTTGCATACATATATGAGTTGGTATATGTATGCAACTCATACCACCATATAATAATTGAAAAACTAACAGTTAACACAGTTTTGTCTTTGAAAAAAAGATTTCATAAAAGAGTATGCAAAACAAAAGAAGTACCTAGCTCGTTGCCCGATCTGATACAGTAGTAAGTGATGTCTCCTGAAGGGTCTGTGTAGTGAGTGGCTGATAATGTGACTACTGTGGTGCCTGCTGGTTGGTTCTCAAGAGGAGAAACACTGCAGATGAAAAAAGATGCAAATGTGACATTAGATTATCCTTTTGCTATGATTCCAAAGTTTTTTCCAGGTTATCATTAAATTGTACCTTACCAACCTAACCCATCTGTGATGAGAGGGCTGTTTTAAACAGAGGTTAAAGTACAACAATTGAAGCAATCTACGACAGTACGTTCTTATCACATTGTCATCATCATTTCATACTTGAAACATCTGAAATAGCCCCAAAACAAACTGTGTGAGGATTCCCTTTTTTGGCAACTGCTTTTTTGCCACACAGATATCAGTATACTATGGGATAGGATCAATTCAACTTACTACATGTACATTTAAAAGAATAAAAATTGACTTTGGAAAACCTGTTTTGCCACCCTGAAATTGTATTGGATGCCTCAACAAATCAACTTAACAAACCCTAGCCTGTGACAAATAAAGGTACCATGTGTGGACCTATAACTCCTCAAATATCTGTTGTTATGTGCTATAAAGATTTCTTGTTTTGAACTGTAAAGATGTGAAACTTACACAATCTGCTGCTCTGTGAAGATGGGTTGGTTGAATGCAGTGTTTACCACAGTCACAGTAACAGTAGTTGAAGCAGACTCTCTAGGTTCTCCCCCATCATATGCAGTAACTTGTAGCTCAAACACTTTGACAGAGTCGTTGAAGTTAAATTCCTGTCTGGTGGTGATGATTCCCTGGTTGGGGTCGTCTAAGGTGAAGTATGTGCTGTAGCTGTCATCAGTCTTCAGGAAGTACCAAATGTCACCATTTGCTCCCTGAGGAAAGTTAGACAGTATTGTGCATAATTATTCCATTTAATTGCATGATAAAGTTTGCATATCTGTGGCGTCCGGTGGTGTAGTGGTTAGAGCAATCGACTGTGAACCGGGAGACCCGGGTTCGATTCCGAGTCGTACCCGGGACATGTCTGAACATGCGCCCCGACGTTGTGCCCTTGGGAAAGGCACTTTGCACGAATTTCCTCACTCCACCCAGGTGTGAATGGGTACCTAACTTCGGTTGGGGAAAGTCGTATTGAGGTCACCTTGTGGCGCCGAATGGCAGCCGCACAGACCCTTGCGACAGTTCCACAAAAATAATTGTGGAACAAATCATGTGTATTATTTGATTGTTGTAATTGTTGTGATTTGTATTGATTATTGTGATACCCTGCATCAATTCAGCCATATAAAGGCTGTGACTGCACGGGTACTGTTTGGACAATAAAAACCATTAAAAAAAAAAATTTTACTTGAGATATGTTATCAAGAACAATCTACATCTTGGGGCTGTCCTTGGTGCTGAAATACTGGTATTTTTCATGTAAATGTTAAGATAGTCACATGATTCTATGCAATGGTTCTTCATGTATTTAACCTGTATTTGTCCTCATGATTTGGAAAGAAAGAAAGCACATGGTTTCATACCATTCTTCAATACATTCTCATTGTCATTGTCATTTTCAATTAGCCATTGGGCATGAACTTGCAATAAAGACTTTATATCTTTATGCGGTTAAGACATGATAGTCAATGTCTCTTATAATTCTCACCTCGTCATGGTCTTCTGCAAACACTTGGATGACCTCTGACCCAACGGATGTTGTGAGGTCAATCTGTACAGCGTAATCTGAGGAGTTGAATGTGGGGCTGTTGTCATTCTGGTCCTGAACTATGACCTCCACAACTGTTGAGGAGTTTAACTGTGGGTCAGCTCTGTGGAAGAACATTATCAAAAGTTGTCAGTTTGAGAAGTTATAATTTGCTCGCATTTTTATTACTAATATGGTTTTATTGTAGTCTGTTGCCTAGTTAGTTTGGATATATAGCTAACCTGTAGTTGGTTGCAGTGATGACCAGACTGTAACTACTGGTGTTTTCTCTGTCTAGTTCCATTGTCGACATCAACAGTCCAGAGCTGGCATTGATGGAGAAGCTGGTGTAGTCATTTCCTCCTATGGGCATGAAAAAAATGATACAGTGACTGCGTTAATGTACGTACTGCAACAGCTCACTGATAACTCTGTCATCTTTCTTGTTGCATGGAGTGAAAAAAAGAAGAATTTAGATTAAACACTATGACTGATCAAATAAGAAGATATATAGTATCAAAATCATTACAGATATTGGTTAGTGTGCTGCATGTATTGTAACAGTTGCAGAATATACTACATGTATTGTTTGTTTCGTTCCATTACATTCTATTTCTTTCCATTTAGCACTTTCTGCGGCCCTGATTCAGCAGAGAAAGTAAGAGACATGAATAATGGATAGAGTGCATCCCAAAATATTCTACTACAAAATATCACTAAACAATGTACATCCAAAGGAAAAAAAATGATATTTAACTTGTACCTGTGATTTCATATGAGACATCGGTGTTGACCTCTGCTGTATCCAGGTCAGTGACCTTAATGACCCCAAGTTCCACAGGACCTGTATTCTCCATGACAGAGAATGGACCAGCAGGCTGAAACAACATGAGATACAAACATGTTGTTCAGTCAAGGTTGTCTTATCAGGGTAGGTACAAACAAAACAATGTTTGTTTGCAGTGGGAAAATAATGCTTGAATGCTCGAATCGGAAACAAGAGGTCCCGGGCACTTAACGTGGCTTCCCTCATTTCCCTCAGGTAAAAATGTGTGTCCTGTCCTGTATTTTAACTTAATTTAATTTAATTGTCATTTTGCACATAAAAAAGTAACAGTATAAAATGAAATTATATACAAGCAAATATATGCTGGAGAGCCCAAGAAACCTGAAGGTTTGTCTAGTGGACTCTCCCAAATCCTATTAATTTTACGATCTCTTATTTACATACATTTACATACATACATATTTGTCCTCTGCATTGATGGCAATTAAAACAGATTAATATAACTTGAGTGTGCTGTCACCATGTCTAGTCATGAAATGTTGTAATATAAAAAAAACACTAAACCCCTTGCCACCTAATGGAATCATAATTATCAGAACCACACCTGAACAAATTGTGGGGCATGATTGTTGATATCCTCCACTGTGACGACCACAGTGGCGTAACCTCTCAGGGGTGACAGGCCATCAATTGGCAGACCCATGTCTTCTGCATACACCACAATCTGTGAAAAAATTGGTGTACAACATCAAATATGCGATCAGTAAAAACATGGATCTATGAATGAGATACATTGTACAAGAGCAATACTAGTAGCTATTTCATTAGGCCACAACAACTTAATACTTGCTTCATTTTTTTCTGATTTGCGTGAGAGAAAAAAAAAGAATTCATGGTCTGAATCAACTCCAAAATGCACACATTTTGGTCCGAACAGTCCTACTTGATACAGTTTATCCATCTACATGTATCAATGCATTGGTTTGATAAAAAGGTTAAAATTCATTGTTTGAATTATAAACCAGCCTTGTCTTTTGTATTCATGGCTTTTATTGTAGCTTTTTGAGCTATCAGAGGATGCCAATACATTGGTTAATTTTTATTGTGGTCTTTAACTCCTAAAACTTGACTCCTTACCTCATATTGTACAGATCCCAAGTCAATCAGGTCTCCTGCCACTGTGAGGCTCCCTGTGGAGTTATCCAGTGCAAACTTGCCATCCCCTCCACTATGGATGAAGTACTGAAGTTCTGCATTCAGACCCTTGTCGGCATCGGTTGCTGTTAACACCACTACTTCAGCACCAAGGACAGCGTCCTGTCAGAAAAGTTACACATCAATTTTGCTGGATCAACAATGGCACGATGATCCCAGAAGGGCTTGTCATTTTGTTCACACCATTCTGAATAGACTGAAGACCTTTATTGTACATTTTTGTCCCACTGAGCTAAGCACAGGTCACATTTTAACAATAATATACAATGTATATACTTTAGATGTTTATATAAACATCTAGTATACAGTAATTTTTACTTCTCCTCTCGTTTCTTGGTAATTGTATAAATGTAGGTGGCTAAATGATTAGCTAGAGTTGGTTGATTCAAGGCTGTAATTAAAAATTAATAGCCTTACCTCAAAACCTGCATGCCACTTTATAGCATATTTCCATGTACCTAAATCTATCTCTTTATTCTTCTATAGAAATGCAGTGACTCACTAACCTCTGGGACAGCAGCTTCGATGTTTGTTGGATCAAAGACGGGAGCGTTGTCGTTCTGATCCACCACGGTGATGTTGACTGTTGCCATGGCTGTGAGAGCTCGGGTGCCGTTAACTGCCACCATGATGGACAGGACAGCAGAGGATTGTGGGATATCTCCCAGGCTCCTGTTGGTTGTGATTGAGCCTGTTGTCTCATCTATTCTGAAATAACCTGGAACAGAATAAAGAGGAATGGTTTGATTATTGGTTATTTGATTATTCCTGCTGTTAGATACATTTTGAAGATGGTTCCTGGCCTTTCTTGAGTATTCACTCTCTTTTTTGGTGACTTTTACCAAAAGCTATTTTTAATGGTGCCTGGCCTTTCTTGAGTATTCACTCTCTTTCTTGGTGACTTTTACAAAAGCTATTTTTTGGACTCCATGAATAGTTTCGTCACGTTGGTAAGTTACTAAATAAAAAGATTTTTTTTCCACAACCAAGAGGTTTATTTAGCTGATGTTTTGATGACCGTCTGTTACCTTCCTCAGGGCAATTCTGACTGGTTTACAATGCACTACAGCACAGGTGTTGCTGCAATAAATATACATATACATATACATATATAAATATACATGAACGCTAGAACTTTTTTTCCACAAAGCCTGCATTACGACTTACCTCCAGTGTTGCCGTTGAGTATAGAATATCTCAGTGGGTAGTTGACACTCTCCTCTGTCACGTACACTGCTGTTGCCATGACAACAAAGGATTGTGGAGGCAGGTTCTCAGGAATCGTTACGTCGTACAAGTCTTTGGAGAACAGGGGTAGGGACACATTGGCAGGCAATACATAGACAGTCACCTGTGATGAAAGAAAGAAGTTAAACTCATTCACTTCTACAGACTAATATAATACATTAGGTGTGGCATCAATTTGGTTCCTACAAAGACAGATTGCAGCATTGTATTCATCACCTTTGAAATAAAGAAATAACAACATATGTCAATGAAGGTAAGACATCCAAGGTAATAAGATATGCATTTATTTGCATTATCAATTAATATTTTGTGGTTATAAGCTTCTTAAACTAGAGATCTCACTAGTGTCACTGATGAAAGGCAGTGGGTGCTACCTGAAACTTCTGACTGTTTCCAAAGTCATATCCAGTTGCTTGAGTAACTTTTTTGGAGTACAATAGTAAAATTTATGAAATTGAAGAAGGCATTGTTATACTAGAACCATTTGTGGTACGTACTCAAATACTAATTGTCCAATTCTGTAGCATGTCAAAAGGCAGCAATGAAATGAAACATTATATCATCAGAACAATGTATTATAACAGTTATCTAAAAAAATGATAAGCCACCCAGAACCTACCGTTGTAGATCTAGTCATGGGAGGGTTTCCATCATCAGTTGCTGCCACGGTGAGGATGTGTTGGAAAGTGTTGGCACTAAGAGGGGCAGAAACACTGACCACCCCCATTTGGTCAATGGTAAAGACCCCCTGCTCATTGCCAGCTGTGGGGAACAAACCACACAGGACTTGTCACAAGGGAGGATTTTGTCTCTTTAACCTGTTAATGTTGATACATTTAATTTCTGAAAATTTTCAGATAATTGAGCTATGGGTTCTGTGATATTGCTAATGAACACATTTAGGTCTATAACTTTGGAATAGTAGGGTAACTATGTAAGCTATGTATACTATATTACCATTTCCATTAGTATGTAATCCACATGGGGAACCAAGTTACCAAACTAGTTTTTCACACATCACTAATTAACAATGCACTTGCCTGTGATATTCAGGGTTATGTTATCACCATCAGGGTCAGAGGTCAGGATTTGAGCCACTTCAGTCCCGACAGTTGCGTTCTCCCTCAGGACTTTGAGATACGGTTGCCTGCTGTATCGTGGCGCCCGGTTTACATGCACAGTGAGGTTGGCATTGCTATCCAGCAGGACACCATCTGGCACGAAGGCTGGTGGGTTGTAAGCCTGCACACTCAGGGTGTAAGTGTCAACACTTCCCAGCCTGGCAGCAGTTTTCACAGTGCCTAGTTGAGCTGTGAGAAATACAGAAAGATGTCTCTGGTTGTCCATCGTCTTCGATGATGACAGAAAGATGTACATGTATGAGAAAACACTAGGAGAAAAAAATGCATGCTTCTAGTTTATTGTTATCTTGTAAAGAAATGCAACTGAATTGTTTACAACAGTTTCTTATATTAGGTCATTAGCTGATACTAAAATGAGGGCTTTAGCATTGATATGTGCACATTTTGTGGTGATCTGGCTTGTAAGTTATTGGAATTCTAATTGTTCATAATATTTATATACTCACTTTCCACAAAGAAAGTATCATCATCATTTCCCCCGGTGATGGAATAGTATACCAGGTTATTCAGCGGACCAGAGTCTGGGTCTGTGGCACTGAGTAGAAACACCTGGAAAGGTGAAAGAAAATTGAAATCTGCTGTCAGATTTTGATATTATTTTCTAACACATACAGTTACATTTTTGTTAACACATACAGTAGTACAATTTTTTTCATCCTTTACACAACTTTTTTTCAAGCACAATGTTTCTCCTAGGTGTGTGGATTATAAATAAAAATTTCAATTCAAACCATCTGTAAAAACACTCTAGTCATGTAAAACACTAGCAAAGGGTGTGATTCAAACAAAGAACTTTGCTGTGAAATATTGGATTTCTTTTCAATGATAGTTAATGAGTGTATATTCAGTTGCAACAGACAATAACCACATTGTTAATTGAGATGAGCCTATGCCTGTTCAGACTTACCTGGCTACCAATCCTCACTGTTTCCCCTATGTACACCTCAAAGGAAGAGTTAGAGAACACGGGAGGGCTGTCATTGATGTCTTCCACAGAGACAGTTACTAATGCTGTGGTGTTTCTTGCTGGGGAGCCCATGTCTGTGGCCTGAGAAAAAACAAAGAATTTCAAATGATTGCACTCTACTCATACAAACCAATTTTATCCATTCTTTAAACAATGTTGTTGTTAGGTCCTTGAGGAAAGAAAATCTAGTAATGATCTGTTCTGTATAGAGACATGAAAATGTAGAAGATACAACATACTAAACTCTAATTATACATGTGTCGCTCTGTTCTTGGTGCTGAAAGACTAAAACAAATGAATTATGGTATTTTGTCATTTGTACAGTACACAAACTTCCCTATGCTAACAAAACAGTTGTTAGATTGAAGTGTAGATGATCAAACATACTGAACCCTAATTATGCATGTATGTCTCTGTCCTCGGTGCTGAAAGACTAAAACAAATGTATGACGGAATTTTGTAATTGTAAGGTCTAATGATAAATCTTCCTAGGCTGACAAATTCTAGAGCATTGAGCTCATTATAAACTATTACTTTAGAATCCCAACAAACTTGCCATGACTGTGATGTTGTATCCTGCCATTTGCTCTCTGTCCAGTTGGCCTGTTGTTGTTATCTGTCCTGTTGTATTGTCAATGCTGAAGACATTACCTGCAACGAGATATAAAAAAAATCTGTGAATTTATAATTCACAATGCTGAACTATTTGGCAACTACAGCAACATGTCTTGTTTTTAAATATACTTAGGCTTTTGAAATGATATTATAGTAGAAGAAAAAGAACAAGGTGAAAAAGAAGTGACAACTTGAAGTAAACTGCTAGAATCTATTCGTCCCAATCTAGGAGCTATCAAAGGGCTACTAGTTTATTTGTTCCACTAAAAATCATAGGGTTGGACATTGGAGAAAACTGTTTGAATTGATTACTGCTTACCATTGTCACCAGTTATCCTGTACATGACCTCCCCATTCTTTCCCTGGTCCATGTCTGTTGCAGTTACAGTGCCAACTACACTGCCATGTGTGGCATCCTCAGACACTGTGAAATGGTAGGAGAGACTCTGGAACGTGGGATCCTGGTCATTGATGTCTGTGACTGTAACTTCCACCTGAAAGCAGGGAAAATCTATGGTGAATGTGGATATTGTATTGTGCAAAAGTCGCAGACATCAAAATGGAATGGGAAGATCTGGATTAGCAAATGGGAGAAAAGATCTACCTTTCAGTCTAAAAGCATTATACACAGTGTAAAGGATAGCCTTACCGTTGTATATGCTGTGTGCTGAGGGATCTTGTCGTCTGTTGCTCTCACTAAAAGTTCGTAGGAGTCTCTTGTCTCCCTGTCCAGACTGCTCTTGATTTGTACTGTAGCCTGAGGAATGGAAGAGATAAAACAGAAATATGTACAATCAGGTAGACACATGTATATTGTACATCAAGAGGGCTTTCCCTTCTTTTTCTCATTACTTGTATTGAAAAATCTTCAACATTGCAAAATATAGCAGCTAGCGTCCGTAGTCCAGTGGTTAGCGACCGTGCCTCTGGACCAAGAGTTTGGGAGTTTTAACCCCGGCTTTTGCCACTTGACCAAAATGCACACTACTGGATGGGGTCGCAGCCCTTAAGATGGGACGTTAAGCCATGGTCCACTGTTCATTGCGCTTGTCGTAAAGGGCTAGGGAAATTTTTCCAACACAATGAACCTGTAAATACTGTACATAGTATCTGTCTTCTCAGTGCTCAACGCAGTTCAGTCTAAGGACAGTCTAAGTTGATGAATAGAGTTTTGAAATTTTTTTTGGCACAACCAGTGGGAGATTAGTGAGCTGAAACTGCATGAATATCACTTATAAACTACCTGCATAAGGCAGGCAACTCTTAGCCTGGTGACATTGGATAGCTTTCCTCACTTTCCAGCTCTGTACAAACACTCTGGTACATGGAAGGACTTACCATGTTGTCACCCTGCTGTAGTTCAAACGTGTCCAACCAGTTCAACAGTTCAAAGCTGATGACAGTGTCTGGGTCTTCTGATGATGCTGATATGTTGAAGTCCAGGGGGGTTCCTAGACAACAAACACAATTTTAGATGTACTTTACCAGTTCCAAGGACAGGGGCATTTATGTTAGAAGGGATGTATTTCAGCACCAAGGACAGGGACAGTTTTGTTAGAGTGGACATGTTTCAGTACTCCCTGTGTTGATTAGTGTGCTTTATACCTTGTTTTACTATAAAAGTTTTACTATCTACTACCTTCACATCTATGGGGTAGAACTAGAACCAAACCAAATAAAGGCAAATGTGGTAGAAATCAACTTTTGAGGTATTGCTAATGATTCAATGATTAGTTCAGTTACTCTTTAGCTGTCCAAAGAAATCAAGGGCTCTCAAAATTCTCCTATCCTCAATTATTGTATGCTCCTTTGAAATGGTATAAGTGTATGCACACCTGTCTACTGTTTAAGTATTCCTCTCACCTGTAGCTCTGTCCTCCGCCACTCTGACATTGTATGTGGAGTTCCCAAACACGGGTGTGGCATCCTTCACATCTCCTACTGTGATGAACACCTCAGCTTCTCCACTCAGTCGAGGGTTCCCATCATCAGTTGCAATCACCTTGAACCTACAAAAACAAAATCCACCATATTTCTCACTGTGCATGATACATGACTTGCATTGAATTACAAGAAGTGCTAAGCCTCTGTCTAAGCAACAACAGATGACAATGTTAATTAACTGCAAAAATTGTGATATGGAATGTACATATGTATAACAATAAGCCATCCAATGCACACATTTAAAATATTGTGTTAGGTAAACAAGATGGCACGTTATGCAGCTGGTGTACTGTGCCAAAGGGCAGTTATACTGAATGTACCGCGTTGATAAATCTAATAAACATACCGAGTTACATGTATTATGACAAGGTACAGTAGCTATGGTGTTATACCAAAGGACAGTTATACAATACATATAATTATACCCGGTATACAGATACAGAAGCAAGGTATTATTTTTCACTGCACACAAAAGTAGTGATCGTAAAAAACATATAAATGATTGATTATTTTTCAAATGTTAACCTACCTGATGGTAGTACTGTTTGTTTCATTAGCCAGCCCAGAGATGAGCCCCTCTTCTGTTAACTTCTCCACTGTCAGGATCTCCTCTATTCTGACCAGCCCATTAAGTACACTGAAGTACTTTGTACCATTCCCTCTCAGACTGTAGCTTAGCTCTGCATTAGTTCCCACATCAGCATCTGTTGCAAATGTCTCTGCAACAACCATGCCAATGGGAGATTGCTCCAGGATGCTGACATGGTACTGGGCAGGGTTGAACTTGGGAGCATTGTCGTTTTCATCAGTGATGGACACGGTCACGGTGGCATTTGAGTTGAGGGAAGTTGGTGTGCCGTTGTCTTGGGCGATGACTGTGAATGTGTAGGAGGCCACACCCCCTTCTCTGTCTAAGACTTCAGTAGTTGTGATATTTCCTGTTTCTTCACTGATGTTGAAGGGCACTTCTTGACCTGTAATGGTTGATCCCCAGAACTGTCAAACTTTATTGCTCAAGACTCAAACTGTACATGGCCTCTGAGGATGTAATACTTTTTTTTAAACAGGCAAAAATCAAAATGCATTCATGGATGTCATTCATAGAATGAAATCAGTGAGGCCTTGATTTAAAGTTGTATCTGTATCTGTATCAGTATAGCCGGTATAACCGCCTTTCGGCGTAACACACCAGCTTCGCAGGCACGCGGCGCGGCGGCAGCTGGCTATATTACACCGATCGACTTGTAAGCTATCTATAAGCATTGAAATTGTCAAAGACACCACACACGTATCTGAAAGCTAGAAGTGCTACTCACCAGATGGGTCCAGGTAATACTTCACTTCCCCATTCATACCCTCATCTGTATCTTCTGCAAAGACTGTGCCAACTAATGAGCTGGCATTCATGTTCTCTGACACTTGGAAGTTGTAGTGGGAGGAGTCAAACTCTGGGGCATTGTCGTTAATGTCCATGACAGAGATGGTTACTGTGGATACTGCATATTTAGGCTCCTCTCCACCATCAGCAGCCACAACTGTGAGCATGATGTTTGGATCTGGTAGGGACTCGTGATCCAAGCTTGCAACAACTGTGATGTTACCTGCAAGAAAAGAAGAGGGCACAAGCATGCTTTATACTTATAAGCAACATTTAGAAGTCAGAGCTGAGAGAATGCAATTATTACAAAATATACCTCTTGGGCTTGTGACTTCCATAAAGTATGGACTCATGGTAACATCTGTGCCCATAATATCACCATGGTCCATAATATCGCCACCTTGAGAAACATTGTGCTTAAAGATATTTTTACTGCAACATGCCCTAGGTATGTACATTTGATGTGTGAAGGAGTGCATACTAAAAGTATGTTGCAGTAAAAATATCTTTAATCACACTGTTTCTCAAGGTGGCGATATTTTGGACCCTGGTGATATTATGGACACAGATGTTACATCTTCTTGTGTCACAAGCAAAAAAAAGTACTAAAGAATCAAGATGATTTTCTGAACTATGTACTAATTCTACTGATAAGAGAACTTGGGAAAGCTTACCTGATTCCCTATCCACAGCAAATCTCCCATCAGCCCCTGAGCTGAGGTAGAAGGTAACTCTGCCATTGGCACCTGCATCTTTATCGTTAGCAGAAACTTGACCCACAACAGTGCCTACAGCCACACTTTCCAAAACATTGAAATGAGAGGAATTACTTGGGAAAAACTGAGGCGTGTTGTCATTTTGATCCAAAATGGTGACCTGTACTTGGCAGTATTCTACATTTTCACCATCTGAGACTGAGACATTGAGGCTATATTGTGGGGTTTCTTCTCTGTCAAGGGCTTGAGTGGTGTTTAGCAGTCCTGTTTTAGGATCTATGGAGAATGGACTTGTTGAGTTTTGTCCCTGCACAAGTTTGTACTCCAATATTTCAGCAGCATCTTCATGTGTGACTTCAACCTGCACAAAATTGAGAAAAAGAAATCTTAGCATCTAATTTGTGGCAATGGAATAAAACTGAACCGTACTGAATCTTAAATAAAGACTCTTCTATCAATGAAACATTCAAGCATTTTAGCATGAAACCTAAAATTTTGATACTTTGGGTAAGACAGGTTTTACAGTATTGCTCAATTTAGCTGCATTATCACAGTCATCGTCCCATAACCTATCAGACCAAGGCGGTTTAATCTTGGTTAATAGTAGAAACAAAAAGTGCAGAAACAAAGTCTCTTACCTGCAGAAGTTGGGCTGGGCTGGGCAGATTCTCCATCAGTGACACCTGGAAAGGTGTTTCTTTACACTGAGGAGGAAACTCGTTCACACCAATGACAGAGATTGTGACATCTGCCACATCTGACCGAGGAGAGTCTCCACCTATAGAGATTAAAGAACACAAATCTTCAAAGATAGGAACAGATATAAAAAAAGCAAATGCCCTGATATATCCGTAATCACCACCTTTATTTGTCATCCAGTCCTTGGCAATAGAATGCAGGTTCAATCCAAAATAATTTTTCTGTTCGAACAGAAGTACAGAAGGACTTGCTCACCATCTTGTGCCTTTATAGACAGACGATACTCCTGGGTAGTTTCATAGTCCAAAGTCTTGTTGGTCTGCAGAAAGATGGTACCACTTTTGTTGTTGATGAAGAAAATGTCCTCAGTGTTTCCACTTCGGATGGAGTAGGTGATATTACTGTTTGAACCCTCATCCTCATCACTGGCTGTCACCTGTGACGAAACAAGAGCTGTTTAAAAAGCTGTCATTTGCCGGCATGGTGCATTTGCACAACAAAGTTGTATGCAACAAATGTGTTTCTTCTTTGAATAAAGTGATAAGACCTTTGATTGAAATCTAGCTACCCTATATACATGTACATGTACCTTGTGTGTGTTTTGAGTTAGTATGAAGGGATTTTCACTATTGGCATGTAAATAGTTTTGGAAAAGATAACCAGAATCAATGCTTATTACTAAGGTGCAAGCTTACGCATTCCCAATATAGTCTACTGTAATGCATTCACAAATTTGGCAGAATGCCCCCAACCATGGTTAAGAGTAGGTTGACACAAAGTTGACTGGTGTTCCACGAGGTTGGCTACTATTTGGCTGTGTCAATCAAATGTTTCAAAATGTTTCAAACATTTGGGAGTTGGTCGAGAGGTCGGATCATGGTTGGCTGGTATTCGGCTGTAGGTCAGCAGAACACCATCAAAAAACATTTCGGGGGTATGTTAGCAGTGTTCGGGGCATGTTTAAGGGTCAAATTTGACTCAAATGTAACTCAAGTTTGTTAAGATTTGTAAAGAAAGGTAGTCATGGCATATATCTGGTCAGACATCTGAAGAATCTGGCCGGCTGGTGTTTGGGAACAAATTCGGGTGAAATTCGTGAATGTGTGACAGGGGCTTCAGACATACAGTAACACTGTCTTTAGTTCTGTACCTGTAAGATCAGGCTACCACCAGTTGTATTCTCAGGGACATTGGCAGCATATATCTCCCTATCAAACACTGGGGAGTTGTCATTCTCATCCAGAACTTCCACTGTGACTACAGCTGTGTCTTCCTGTCCTACAGGGTCCCTGACGATGACGTTGAATGTGAAGGAAGAGTTTGTCTCTCTGTCCAGTTGGGATGATGTGATGATCTCTCCTGTAGCAGAGTCAATACTGAAATACCCTGTGGGGCGGAGAAGCATGATTTTAGTGTACTTTGGTACACAGGGAAAACATCACAAGGCAATTTGTACAGGAATCTATGTTTCAGCACCAAGGACAGGGACAATTTTGGTCATCTGATTTTGGTCAAAGGCTGTTCCATGGTAAGCTCACTAAAGCTTCCTAATGCAGGGATTACAAATGACATATTGCCAAGACAATATTCTTGTCATGTACATGTATATACATATTAATTTAAAACAACACTATCCCAATGTATTGATATTCTTGGAGGGAAAATGCCAAATATTGTGACGGAAAACGGTTACTGGTAGAATCCTGTGCAGATTTTTGGGGTACCATCCAGAAAATAAAGGACTCATCTTGGGGATGGAACAATAGCAGATTTCATTTCTTAGACAATTTTACTAATGATTCCATTAAAGTTTATTCATGATGTACTGTGGCGTTGAATGAAGAATGATTCATCACATTGTTGCAATGATAACAATGGTCTGCGCTTCATACTCACCCATGACTGAATCTACTATTGTATAATTTAGATTGTCGCCATCTAGATCAGAAGCATGAACCGTTCCTACAAAGCTGCTTTTCCTTTCATTCTGGAGAGAGAAGAAAGAAAGAATGATTGAATCTTTCAGTTATTACCAAACCACTTTTTATTTCAAATGTGGGAAGTGTGAAGCAGCCTATTTGTAGATCGATCTGTTGTATGGAAGCACAAAAGCACAATTCCTAAAATGGAAATAAAAGAATTTACCTCATAGACATCAAAGATGTATGTTGGGTCCTGGAAGACAGGTGAATTGTCATTCTCATTCACAACAAGGATGTCCACAATGGCAATGCTGAGAAAAAAAGACACAAGATCATCAATTCAGGCTAACCTAGCATGCTACCTACATGTAGTTTCAATGACTCGCTCTGTTATGAATTTAGCATAGCTATATTACAAAAGATTCTTCTTTACGAAAGTGTCTAAAGATATTTTTATTCAGGCTACATAATTATGATCTGCATCTAAAAAAGGCATCTCTGTAGCAAATACACTTATAGCAGGATCTTTATCAAGAATTCTTGGTACAATCATGTTAAACTTTATTTCTACACAAAGAGGTTCAAATTTTCAGCGACCACACTCACCTTAATCAGGATAATTAATGACCAATCACTTCCGAACATAAACTCCCCGGCACATTTGATCAAATGCTAATGTCACACATCCGTAAAGTTTCAAATGAATAAGGTGACTTGTCTGTAACCATATCTCAGGTTGTGAGTTAGGGTTTGGAAGTGATTGGTCATTAAATAATTTTCCTGATGAAGGCGACCATGGTTTTGGAATAAAGTTTAACATATTGTACTACTACCAACACAGAGGACATGCTGTAATACATTTATTTTAGTATATATCGAGTATTAAGTCAGTGAAATCTATCCAGCAATAATGACCTTGAATCACTGATAATTTCTTACCTGCTCCTGACTGGAGTACCAGCATCCTTGGCCTCCACAACTAGTTGGTAAGACTTTTTGCCCTGATCATAGTCAAGTGATTTTTGCAAGGTGATCTCTCCAGAAACTTCGTCAATAGCAAACGTCATGTTCTGGTACATGGAAAGAGAAGATGCATTGTAACCTTAAGCTTTATCTCAATATGTAGCACGTCGGCAGAACGTACTACTGCGCCTGCGCAGAACCCCTTATTTTCGCCTTTTTAGTTGGATTTTTGGTCAACGTTGCATCAGAATTCTGCCTGTTGCAGAGAATATTCTTTCCGACATAACGTTTGGAAACTACTGTCAAAATGCTAACCTTATATGAGCAAATACAACCTTATATGAGACATTCTGCCAAAATGCTATGTACAATACATTACGAGTTTCGCGCAGGTGCAGTACGTTCTGCCGACGTGCTTCAATATGTATTGTTCCTGTTGACCACAGTCCCTGAGCCTTGAGATGAGTATGTGACATGAGGTGAAGGGGAGACATTCAGTCATCTAATAACTTTGTGAAAGCTTCGTATATGTTATAGAAAGCACTGCAAGAGCAATGGTAACATCAATGTAAGCAGGTAATTGTTTGAATGAACTTACTCATTATAAGCCTAAGCAGTGCACATAGCTATACATAGTAAAAGATCAATTTCATATAGAACAGAGAATTACTGGTCAGGAACATATTGTTATCAATATTTAGAGAAGCGACAATCACTATATGGATTCAACACACCTGATTGCCAGAGATGATTGTGTAGGTGATGTTCCCATTGTCTCCACTGTCATTATCCGTGGCTGTCACCATGACAACTTGAACACCATCAGCAGCTGTCTCATTAACCCCTACTTCATAAACATCTGCAAATAAATAACAGACAGCAAGCTTAAGGGTTAGTAGGTCAACAAGCTTAAGTTTTGGGAAGACAATCTAAAGTAGCTTGACATGTGTATGAGGTAGTTGTGAGAGTTTAATTGTTCTGTACTTACCTCCCTGCTTCTCTATACAAAGAAGATATTGCCATGTTGACCAGGGAATATATACTGAATCTGATACATGTTGTGATTGTACAGTATAGTGCAGTTATACTCACCTTCTTCGATTCAGCTGAAGGTAATACACCAAATTGTATTCTCTTATCAGTGCTTCTTGTATTAGCTATCTACTATTTAATGCACATTTAATCATGACTGACATTCAGTATGGCAATGGGTTTTAACATTTTGTAATGTCATAGATCTGAAAAAAATAAAATGTAACTTGGATTTCCTCGCATACCTGGTTACAATATATGTGTTGATAGACAAAGGAAAGGTACAGATAGAAAAGACAGGTCATGTATTAAACTACAGCATTGTATAATCAAATTATGATAATAATAAATATGGTACCGTAACAAAACAAGTACAGTAATACACCTTTGGATACTGCTAAATATCACGTCTTGGACATTGTCATATGTCATAATATATATATCATAACTGGTAATGGAATACCTTGTGTGAACTCTGGTGCATTGTCATTAACATCAGTCACCATGATGTTCACCATTGCTGTGGTGTTATACATGCCATCTGTGGCCAAAACCTGTAGAAAAACAAAACAAGACAAGCAAGAGCAAGTTTCAGTCTTTTGCTATAATGATATGGTACGCTCCTAGTGAGAAATTATTTCTCAGTATTAAAATATGTCAAGTATTATATGAAACTATATCCAAGAATTTCAATGAAAGAAGAAGTACTGTAATGTAAAGTAAGTCATTTCACCTGAAGTTCAAATCCAGTGTTGTTACTGGGTGGGTCATAGTCAATCTCCTTCAGTACAGTGATTGCTCCTGACACTGGATTAATGCTGAAGACACTGTCGTCATTTCCTGAGACAATGCTGAAATGAATCTCACTATTGGCTGGGTCCGTATCATCATCTGTTGCATTTACTGTTAGAACTGTGGTTCCTATTGTGATGTTTTCGAAGATGGTTGAGAGGTACTGGTCAGGAGTGAAGACTGGTGGGTTATCATTGATGTCCTGAAAAAATAAATAACTGCGTTCTTAATCCTGATTATGATTGGCAAAATATACTTTAAAAAGTATAATATGATTGCACAATGCAGTGGCGTTTTCAAAATCATTACAACATCACATTATCATAGGAGAAGTAATTATTCGTCAATGCCTAAACTCCTGCCACAAAATGAAGTACATGTCTTAAACATTCATTTCTGTGCCATGTGAACTGGCTCTTAAAATTTCCAACTAAAAGTCATTCTCTCTTCTAACTTAAGGATCTATGAATTGAAAATACACGGTCAATCACATGCATGTACATATTTTTTATTAATGTATATAACTTTGTTATATATATATAATTTATGTAAGAATACAATATGCATATGCATTCTAGCCCTTAACTATTAGTCAGTTGGGCGCTCACCTGAACTGAAACAACCACAGTGGCTGTATTATTCTCCCCAGTACCATTATACAACTCTGTGTTGTAAGCCATGACTGTGAGGTTGTAGGTAGCAGGACCTCCATCCCTGTCCAGTGGAGTCACCAGAGACAATCTTCCCGTAGTTGGGTCAATGTTAAAGACATTTGTGTCTCCTTCAGTGATGACATAGTTGGTGATGTTGTTGGGGTCTGAATCCAAATCTGTTGCCTGGAAAGAGAGGAAACAAGATTCATTTGCTTCTTGCCAAGTGTATTTCTTTTCATTAATTGATTTATTCAAAGGGTCAAGATTTAACCTTATTAATACTTCTTTATGAATTTGTTTTTGAAAAGTGCAAAATAGACAATCTTTACCTGATGAAGCGAGCTTGTCTTGATTTTGTTGACGAGTAGATAATACTCTTATCATAAGACATACCCACATTGCAATCTATTTAAAATCCCTAGGTTTAGATTCAGATTGACTTGACTTTATTGGGATGCACACTTAGCTTACAACAAATGTAGCTATTCTTCCTGTGGTCCTTCAAGACACACGACACATTTACAAAACATAAATTTGGCAATTACAACATATTAACACAGCTTAAGATAAGGCTATATACATGTACATCATCACCACTTCATTTCATTCCAGGCACTGGAGATTCTATACAAAAATCTTCTTTTCTGTGCATTTGTTTGAGGTTTAGGAAGGCGGATGGTCTGTGAGTCTGATGTCATATGTCAAATATATATTTAGACTCTTTAGTCTAGTGTAATTGAACATAGCAATCATTCATTTGTAATTGAACATACCAATTCTTACCTGTAGAGTTATGAGGTCAGACTCTGTCACATTTTCATTGACAGTGACCATGTACGATTGTTGTGTGAACGTTGGCAAGTTGTCATTGATGTCCAGTAGAACAACGGTCACTGTTGCTGTGGAACTCAGGGAGGGCCGGCCTTGGTCACTGGCGACAGCGACAAACAGGACCTGTGAGGCAGTTTCTCTGTCCAGTGGCCACAGGGTTGTGATCTGGCCTGTGCTTTGGTCAACTGAGAAGTCTGGACTGCTGGGTTGTATGGAGTATAGGATGTCTGCATTTATGCCAGTATCATTGTCTGAAGCCTGAAAAACAGAAGATACTTATCATTAGGCGATAATCATTTGGGGAAGTACTACATACATTTAGTACAAGTACCTTTCAGTGAGAGTCAGTAATACAGATACATGGAGTATTAAATACATGAAATTTCTTGTTTAAACAATCTGAGTGAGCTTCAGTAGAAAGTAAGATTTGGGGTTCTGTTTTACATTACAAATCATAATGATTTGTTGCTGGTCATAACTCTCATTTGTCACTAGAATGAAAGTGCATTGTATTGACCTGAAATACCATCACTAAAAATTCAGGCACTAAACATTCTTTGAGTCTTTGGTAAAAGCTAGTCATTCAGGTAATAAGATATGCAAAAAATGTTACGTGAAACGTCTAACCATTTCCAAAATCATATCCAGTTGCTTGAGTAACTGTTTTTTGGCATTCTTTTGATTGGCAATGTCTACGTAGCTTCCACCCATTCTATCCAATGTCTTGATCAACTCTCTACGCTGTTGGGCCTAAATACGGTGTTAAAAATGTTACAATTAGTATACTCACAAAGATAGAGCCCACTGCATATGAGGCAGCTTCCTCCTCTGGGATGTCGAATGCGTAGTCTCGCTGGTTAAACACTGGGAAGTTGTCGTTAACATCTTGTACATTCACACGCAGCTGGGTACTGTTAGTCTGTACAAATCACATGAGGACAGAAAATTAAGGGCTAAAAGTTTTGAATGAGATTCTTATATGATTTGACTTCTAACCCTCAGAAGACAGGGAACAACTGTTATAGTTGATGCTAAACCAGATAGTGAGTGAGTGAGTGAGTGAGTGAGTGAGTGAGTGAGTGAGTGAGTGAGTGAGTGAGTAAGTGAGTATGATCTGTGGCATTCTATGCTTCATTGTATCATGAAAGAGTCCTGCCATTTTTTTCTTTATACTTTCTAAGAAAACACCTTTAACTCCATTCTAGAAATATGATTTTGTTTTATTTAATTTTCTGGAAATATTAGTACAATCACAGTAATGTGCCATGTATGAAATCTTTAGTTAGTTTAATTGAAATGACTGTCATTATGCAGAGCTTCCTCACCACACCTCACCGGTCCCATAGCAGTCTGTCCTGCCGTAATACAATTAGCTTAGTAATACAATAAAGTAATAGCTTAGTAATACAATAAAGTGTATATCAGGAAAGGGATCTTACCCATTGTCCATCAGACACTTCCACAGTGATGATGTAGCTGTCTATGATCTCACGGTCCAGCTCTGCAGATGTCACCACCTGCACGTCACCATTACTGGAGACACAACAACATCACATGTACCATCAACTCATACCAGGTTTAACAGATAATTTCTGTGTCATGAGAGTGCAGATAATGTAAAATAATCTTTGCAGCCACAAAATCATGCTATCTAATGGATTGTGTATCTAAATCTTATCAATTTTATAATTGTTACAGTAGTGTTAATACTGTGACGCTAGTGTTAGTCACAGAGTGATATCTGAAAGTCAACACAATTCAGTTAAGTATAATGTCATGTACATGGCTGCCATTGTGGTTTTGATAAAGTTTGAGTTCACTTGGTTACTATCAGTACTAAATGTTGATCACAACACAATATATTTTGGATGTTCAAATAGTAAAAAAGACTGTTACAGTAGATTGTACCTTGCAGTAGAGAGGTTGAATTGTCCAAAGCTGCCATCTTCTATCTGGAATGTGAGTTGTGCATCTTTGTCACCATCTGTGGCCTAGAGAACAGAATTCATAATATATATATGAGCAAACTTTGTCATGTTGAAAACATTTCTCCCAGAATCTGTGTTTTTATCATTAATCCAAATTTCTAGCTTTATTCAACAGGGTATCTAATTATTTCTCTTAGGTCTTAACATCAATGGAAGGCGTTTTCAGCACTAAGGACAGGTAAAACTGTAGAGTCTGGTACCCAGGATAAACAATGCTTCTAAATTAGAACTAACCTTAAGCTTGTTGTTAGCATCTAGTTTTTTTCTCTCAGGTCTTTGTCAATGGAAGGTGTTTTCAGCACTAAGGACAGGGAAAACTGTGGTGTCCTGTACCCATGATAAACATTGCTTGTTTTGCAAGCTCTTTTTTTTCAAGCTCTATTCAGAAGGACCTTGTGGTTAGTATCTAAGTATTTGTACCAGGTATTTGTCAATGGAAAGTGTTTTCAGGACTAAGGACAGGTCAAGTTGTAAATGAAACAATCAATGAAACAATGATCCTAAAATAGAACAAACCTTAATTTTGTTACAGTGAAGACAAAGTGAATTCTAGTATTTGAAAACAATCTTCACCTTGAGTGTAGCCACCACGGTGCCAGTTGCAGCAGCTTCAGACACCTGTGCTGTGTACCGCTGCTGACTAAACTGTGGTGTGTTGTCGTTCACATTGGTCACATTGATGTTCACTATAGCTGTGCTCACCCTGGAAGTTACAATCAGAAAAAAAGATAGACCAAAATTCACGGTTTGAAGCAAGATAAGGTTGATGTAAATGCTTAATCTTCATTTCAATTTGGTGAGAGATTTTGAATCGTTACATTTGGATCTACTAGTGCTGATGAGAAAGCAGCAAAGCTATAATGTGTCAGCATCCTACCTGTCAGCATGTTACATGACACTGTTCATAATATACACAGTGCATATCCACGTATAACAGTTATATGTATTTGATGCTATTTCATTGTAATCTTTACACGTGCTGCTTTCTGCCAATCTGCTCTGAGACATCAAATCTACAAGGTCACCTTCAAGCTAGCCCTTCTAGCAACCCTTCCAATAGTCAGTCCCCATGCTAGGGGAAGTGGCACAATTAGCCCCTAACAGAACGAGATTGTGTAATACAGGCTAGCCTACAGACTGATTTGAGCCTCTCATGAGTAAAGAATGGTTCAAACCTTGAAGCAGTCCCTTGATCAGCAGCCATGACCACCACTACATAAGACTCCACAGTGTCGGCATCCAGTCTGCCTGACACGGTGATGTTTCCATCTGATGGACTGATGGAAAACTTGTCCTTCCCATCACTGGAGGCAAATACAATGCTATAGATGATCTCACCATTGGTGCCAGAGTCTCGATCTGTTGCAGTCACCTGTAGTCGTGAAGGGGAAACAGACATTGTTTTAACCTTTGTCCTGCTGGCATTTTTTACACATTACTCAAATAATTTGATGTCTTAATCAGGTCACAGACCCTTGACTTTTTTGTCATACAATGTCATGTATGTTGGCGTAGTTACTTCCGCATTCATTGCGTTTCGCTGCGGTATGCCGCAAACTTGCACGAGGAGTACCCCAAGATCATACATATGCAGGGCACTTATATATATGAGAAAAATGCACATGTTTGTGAAACTATACATTTGTGGTGGCGGCAGGTGAAGCAAAAAGAAAGTTGGCAAATTATTTGTTCATGGTAATGATAAGTACAGAAGTGACCACGAAAACCGGGAATATAAAACTTAAGTATAAAATTGTGATTTACAATATTTGATATTAAATGATTTCAGAAGTGAGAAACCATTACCTGTGTCACAAAAACTCCAGGTGCAGCGTTCTCTGGCACAGCTGCCTCGTATGTGTCCGCTGTGAATGTGGGGCTGTTGTCATTCTCATCCAACAGCGTGATGGTAACTGTAGATTTAGGGCTGGGGTACTTCTCTGAGGTGTTTGTTTCAACTGCATAGACCTGAAAATACATGGTATATAATTACATGTTAGAAAGATTGAGTGTGACAGGCCGAATAAAAGTTCTTAACAAGAACTTTGTGGCTCCAGATGTCATACTGAGGGACGACTGTGTGCGCGAGATGTTGGTTAGCTTAAGGAATGAATCCACTCAACTAGTATATCATGAAAAAAAAGGTCTTGCAAATCAAAAAGGTTCTTGATGTTAATCCATATTCCAGTGGAGGAGGCTTTGAGTGATTGTGCTTTCTACATGGTATGTATTATATCATAAAATTTTGCACACTTGACATGACTTTGATACTGAGTTTCTTCATATCTTGTAATGCATATCATCATCATTATAATCAGTGTGTAATGTTTTTCTGTTCTGTTTACCTCCAGTGTGAAGTTGTTGTTAGTCTCCCTGTCTAGGATACTGCTGTTGCTAACAGTGATGTAGCCAGTGGAGCCATCAATGGTGAAGACATCAGAGGGCTTCAGTACATACACGAACTCTGCATTCTCACCCTGAAAACAAGCATAATGTTTTACAAATGTTCCCTGCTACCTACATGTATCTCTGTACCCAATATATATTTGGTGCCAAAAGAAACACATTCAGATATTACTAGTATATGGTGACCAGCCCCTCCAACTATACCACTTGCTGCATAATGTAACCCAACACCTCAGGGTGTCTGCTACAGCACCAGTTGCCATGGTGACAGGATCTTTTGTCATCATCTGTTAACAAACAGCTAAATTTCAAGCAAACTGTTGTGACTTTCAGACATACCATACAATTACTTTACAGCCAGAAACACACAGAAATAAAAATATTAATTCGACAAGCACATTTCAAAAATGTTGGGCTGAATGTTGGGAAGAGAAGACACAATTACTATATTGTCTGTGATAAAGATGATAAACATTTGCACTCCTCATACCTCGTCCTTGTCTGATGCTGTGACAGTCAGTACAGGAGTACCCCTTGGGGCATTCTCCACTACTGTAGCCTGGTACAGGTCGGCAGACATCTGGGGTTGGTTGTCATTGGCGTCTTGTACCACGACGTACACACGAGCTTCTGCTGATCTGACATTGTTGTCTGACTGTACAGCCTAGGTGAGCAACAATGACAACATCTGAGAAAAGTGTTTTTTGAGTGACTTTCAGATTGAGTGCTTTTCAGGAGAATGTCAGTCAACAAGTATAGAAAAGGGCAATGGTCACAGAGCTTGTACACTTTGGAATTTGATCTCATTGCCTACAATTTCTGTTTATTGGATCCTCTACTCAAGTAAGCAAGCTCTGCGCAATTGATATTTCATGTCACACTGACTAATTTAATGTTTAACTTTATTGACACAACAAAAAGTACAGCGACTTTTGTAAGGTCAAAGACATGTAGATATGTATACATAATAACATTATAATTGTAATCTTACTTTCTTATCCATGCAAATATAATAATTACATCCTATTCTTAATGTGATATGTGATTTATGACTATTTTCCTACCTTTTTGTTTGCTTTCAGAATCTATTTTCTATTTGTTGTGCCATTATTTTTTCAAAGTTGATCAATATTATAGAATCTAATTGTTTACCTTGATGGTGAGTGTGACATCATGTACTGACTCCCTGTCCAGTCCTCTCACCACAGACAACTCTCCTGTTGAACCATCGATGCTGAAGTAGTCAATCAGGTCTGCTAAGTCTGTTGGTGTTGAGGAGGCTGTATATTGGAAGTAAAATAGAAATGTAGAAATGTATAATTAAGAACAAGGTTTAAGATATTTGACAAACTTAGATCTGTGGAACTTCAATTCTAGACAATGACAAATTGTTATTAGCTTTACTTCCAAAGCATCAGAATTACATTAGGGGATTAAGGTATAACCGTCCTATACATGTACATGTAGGTTATCAATCAAAACAATCCTCATTTTGTAATGATCATTTGATTTTCTTTTTCCTATTTAATAAGTGCAGTTTAAGATATCCCTGGTCTAACCAAAATCTTATTGTTGTCCTCAAAGTAGCTCTTTAAGACCTGAGGAGGTATGATGGCAATAGAGCTACTTGCTACTAATGCATACTTCTTAAATGAAGATTGTTAGTTAGTTAACAGTTAGACCATATATTACACACACCTTTTTGTATTGAGTAGACTAGTGTCTGGTTGATTCCAAAGTCTTGGTCATAAGCAAGGATGGCGGCAGGAGATGTGGTCAGGGTCGAGGTCGCATTCTAGATTCAAAGAATCAAGGTTGTTACTTTTTATTTGATCAAAAGCAGAGACATCATTCAATAGCATCAAACAGAATTATATCAAAACAAACTTATAATAGACAATTTTACGTTCAATTTGTCTTCAACATGCATTTTTGTAACATTTTGAATAATTACTTGTGAGTCAAATTTGTACATTGCACATTCAAAATAAACATGAGCTAATGCAAAAACTGTTTCTATAGAATTAATGTAAAACTAAATTAAAATCAGACTGAAAGCTTATAAAGGAGCAGACCAGCTCACCTCCATGACAGAAGCTTCATAGATGTCATGCTGAAAGACTGGATCCAGATCATCCTCATCATCTACATCTATTGTCAGTGTGGTGTTGGAACTTCTAGGCGGGGTACCCAGGTCCTGAAAGGGAAACAGGGTATTGCATCATATAGAAATGAATAGAAATGTGGATGTAAAATTTTTTGTTTTAACTAATTGTAATTTAACGTTTTTAAAGCAACAGTGAACATTTAAAACAATTTTTTTTTATTGTCCCAAACCTTAATTAAGTACAACATTCAAAATGGCTACCGGTATGATTGAATTTTGTCTCAATGTTCGTTCATCATTCTTTATGATATATACTTTGGGTGTGCCTCTAAAACTAATCAGATTAAGACTGCAGTATCCTTGTTGACTTACCTGAACTTGCACAAGCAGCTCAAAATGTCGAGGGCCAGTGTCATAATTCAGTGAGCTTGATAAGGTCACAGCTCCACCAGTTCCAACAGCAAAGTAGGGCTGGGGAGTCTGACAAGGAGGAAAATAAAATGGTTTCAAAACCAAGAAAAGAACACAAAAAGTTACATATCTAAATGTTAGGTTCAACACTGAAAGAATGTAAAATAATTCAGACTATCTAGTATTTTATTGAATGTCATATTACATAGTACTTACAGTTCTGAGTAAATAAAATACTCTCTGACTGTTTGCTCCACTATCAATATCTGTAGCTGATAAGGTGAAGACTGTTGTTCCAACCTGCTCATACTGTGGGGAAAAGTTAAGATAAATTAGTTAAAACAGTCAAAAACTATTCCCATGTGTTTATCAAACCTAATGCCATTCAAATGCATATGAATTTATATACCCTGCCTAAGTTTGAGACACATAACTGCAGAAGGTTTCCTTTGCCAGACCAATACAAACCACAAATTATCAATCTTAATTGAGATGATCATAATTTGGTCATATCGAATGCTGCATCCAATATGGTGACATTATTACCAATAGGTGTATGCTTTTCTATTTCTGGGACATTATATACACTATATGACATGGTTGAATTACGCTACGGATGTCAATTGACAACAAAACACTGTGTGAATTATTATTGTATTGCTTATATCACTGATACTGTAAATCGTATACATACCTCACTGACAGCAGTGTTATATGGTGCATCTTGGAACTCAGGATCGTTATCATTGGCATCTAATATATTGACGATGAGGGCTGTTTCTCTCTGAAAAGCATTTGTATAATGTTTAATGTGGATCATAAGAAATTTCTTGTCATATGTCTATAATCATGATGACAATAAAATATAATTTATTGTTACAGTAATATTCATATGAGGTCTGCTGTAAGCAGCAGGAAATATGGATATGTTGGCTAACCCAATTTTTTATCATTATAGGTTCATAATTATTTTCTTATGTCAAGGGATCCCAATATCCTTTTGTTTTTCTTTTTCAATTTGAACTCCTTTTTAAACATCAGAAAATAGTGAATAACACTTACCGAACTACCGGGTAGGGAAGGCGAACATGACACTGTCAATTCGATTTTGGTAAGAATCGGAGGCTATGAGTAAAAATAAAAAAAGAGGTTAACATTACATGACACTGTGTATCCTGAAGTAGACACCACTATATTATTGAAATATTGAATAACTAAAACTTATTTTTTATAATAAATAATCATTAATTAATAATGTATTATTTGTAATTAATAACTAATTGAAATAATTAAGGTAATGAATCAAATAACTATTATTATTGTTGTTGTTGCTATTATTATCATCATCATTAATAATGATAACAATAATAACAATAATTGATTACAACAACTTATTGTTAATTAAGATTTGTTCACTCACCCCGTCTCTATCAATGTCCTGAACCAACACCAAGGGAACAAAGTCAGTATTGTTCTGTAGGTCTAATCTGAAGTACCCTCCTGGTGTCTGCGATGTAATTGTGATGTTAGAGATATCGACCCCGTAAGTTCCAAAGAACTTCAGGTTTGTAACTGCTTCACCTGTGAAGAATGTCCATGAACATGTAAGTAATACGTATAAAACAAATACATAAAGAACTGATTTTCTATAATGATTACAATTATGGATTGCTTCATATTCTACAAGTGACAATTAATTTATTGCTGGACAATTGTGTAAAATGCATCATATATTGGCAACATTTACAGCTTTTCTAGAAAGCTACATCTATTCTACAACAAACGGCAACGAAATATTGGGCATTTCTAACATCTGAGGTACATTATTTACTGAGGACTATCAAATCGATATCACAAAATTACTTTCGATTCATTTAGGATATACACTAGGAAACAGAAAATACACTCCAAGGACATTAGGCTGTGCCAAGCCTACATAGTACAACGATGGTTGATACATGTGGTATTGCTATTCAACATCATTGCTTATAATGTATTAGAATGCTCTGGCCATACCTGTTGTGAACACGTTTTCTTCAACTTCAAAAATAAGACGACCCGAAGTTGAGTTTGCCCAGCATAGTTCAGCAGCTGTGATAACATGTTATGGAACAAACGTTAGGTAACAGATTTAAAACACTCAATTGTGACTGTTTTGCGAAGCAGCCATGTCATATATTCCTTATTTATATTGGGTTGATATTAACGTTATTACCTTCGCCGAGAATGTTATGTTTTCCGTAGCGTTTGTATGTAATCAGGACCTCATTTGCATAATTTATCAGGAAATGTTAGAATAGCCTTCGTTGTTATGATAATACTGCAATTGGGTGTAAAACTGTCTTATTCGTCAGTCGGAAGGGTTAAAATCATTTGGCAAAGATATGAGGTCGTGGAACACCTGTAACATTGTAAGAAATGTACACAAAATAGAAATTTCAGAGCACAGTACCATGACAAAATTACATTTTTTTAACTGATTCAGTGCTTTTGCAAAGTAAAATATCGTGGTTAAATGCTTAAATTTTAAATCTATCATGGTTTTCAAAAGGTTATGACCAGTGAAAGAGACTGAGGAACCTAACCCCTATGCTGTCTCCGACTTGCAAGTTTAATGTGTTTCCCCTAGTGCCTGCATAATGAGGCAGGAATGCCTTTCTTCTCTTGAAAAAGGAGTGGGTGCAAATGCCACGGAACGTAAGCTACTGTGACCTGGGCACCATTTTTAATCCATCAACTCAGATTAAAGCACTTTTCTATGGGGTCTAAAGTCCTTTACATCAGGATTCACAACAACATGTTTTGAATGAATTGCCATGAAAGAATTGATTACCGATCAGAAATACATGCCTTTGACAAGAAACTGGCTAATTCTTCATTCACCAAACTTCATCTTTGGTACTATAAACATAGGTTTTGAAGAGCTGCAAAATTGTTAGTTCTCTCAAAACAAATCGAAAGATATGTTCCTCAAAACACCCAGGGCTAGAGTTAAGTTTAAAGCCAATACCGTAAGAATGCAGTATAATAGGATGATTGTTTGAAGTGTACAATCTTGTTTGGGATTATGGCTTTAACTCAAGCAGAGTTCCTCCTATGTCGCCTTTGTTGTAACGAAATACATAGGGGAAGTCTGCATTATTGCTTGCATACGTAACTTTACGCTAAAACATCATAGTGAATGGGGCCGATACGTTGTTGACACGCAATATGGTAAATTTTGCTGCAAGTTATGTCTATTGACCCATAGATATTCGAGCTTTAAAATATATGGTTCTCTTATTATTCTGTATCAATACAGTTTATTTGATTGTTTTTTTTTTCAAAAAACCCTCCCCAATATTAGCTATTGCTTTAGCTTACACTGCAACATTTAATGGGGCCGATACGTTGATTATCGGCACGAATTCGAAGTGGTTAAGTTTGCTGTTAGTTCTATTTATATCCATAAATATTCGAGCTTTTCAATATATGTTTCGCTTATCATTTTGTATCTATACTGTTTATTAATTGTTTTTGCAGACAGCTCTCCCCTATTTGCCGTCTCGATCTGTTTGTCATGAATAGTTTATTGGAGAGTCGTGGACAGAATAGATAATTGTCGACCCCGGGGGGCTCCATTCAAACCTACTCAATCGGCTAACACTTCTCCAAATCACAGCATATGTCAAGTGGTGCTGATGAGTCATTATAGCGGCTGGCGGAAGGCCCCCGTGCCCATTGTGCACTTACGCTTTAGGGTTACCTTTCAAGCAGAGGTTTAGCCTTAGTTTTGGCGTTTTTAGACATTTTTATTGGGATCTTATTTTCGTAACTTTTTTCACAGTGGCAAATGGTAGCTGTCTGGTAAATGGATACTGCCTGGATAATTTTTTATTGATATTGTCGAAATTTGCAGCCATCGAAATATCTTTATGGTTTTTTCGCCATCGCTACACGTTTATTGCATCATAGACTCAACTAAACAGACATTATACATATATTATGATGATATAAAACTAGACACAACGTCCAATCATAGTCTTATTTCAATACTATCTATAGCGATATTTTTAATTAGTTAAATACGCGTTTGTACACAAGAGATAATGAAATTTAGAGGAGAAAACAATATGAAAATGAAGGAGAAAATACAAAACTTCTTACCTTGCGCCGTGACTTCGTACCTCCCTAGAAGCACCGCCGTTGTTACAACAAACACCCAGCTGTACACTCCACTTTCCCTGACCACCGCCATGTTTCTAAAACCTGTCCCACAAGAGCAGGTACCGTCTCAAATTCCCCCGGGCCAATTTTCCCGGATTTACCGCACTTTAGTCACACTTCGGGGCGGCTTGAATGCGTCCACCTGGCCGCCTGAAATTTCAGGGTGGTTCCGCCGCGCGACCCGCGCGTTGAAAGGTGCCCGTGAAATGCTCACAATGGCACGGCTGAACGGCTACTGTAGGACCACCCTTTAATGTAAAATCCACAGGTACAGCGGCACGAGCTTTCTAAAGCTGTTCTTCTGAGGCCCTTCACGGTGTTGTTACACCTGCGTCAAGTTCGTAACACCGACCACCTGCTGATCCTGATACCAGTCAACTTTGAACCTTCTCACTTCCGTTGTTTTCTGCGCTGCAAAGAATACAAATAAAAACAGAGAAGGGTTTTAATATTGCAAATTCACGCATAAGGGCTAATCGCAAGGACATAGGACATAATGAACAGTAAAAATTGCCATAAAATAATATTACTCAATGCTACTTCACATACATTGTTGGTTTTCTTTCTCTGTGTAGTGGTAATTCAGGACGATTTTGTAAGATATATGACTTAGGAGGTGTTGATAAAAATGCAGTTTTTGTATGTTGGAAAGGTGAATAAAGCTAGGAAACATTTTGGTGAAATCCTATTTCAACTCATTTTGTGCACCACACGATAGAAATCTGTCATCTGTACGAGCCATGTTCTGTAACGGTCAGTAATTTTACCGTGGCGAACAATACGACGTTACACATGGCGACTCAGAAAAGCCGCCCACAACTTCTTGGTTGGACAGAGGTGAAAAGTTTGTCGTCACGGCATTGTTGTTATCAAAAGGTTTAGGAGAAAAGACATTTGTGTTGCATTGAGAAATCCACATACGTACCACGACACTGAAGACTTGGGGAAAACGTATAAACAATTGGCGATACATTCACCGAGAATTGAACGTACAATGGTCTACATATTTTGACAATGAATGTACCATTCACTATTCTACATTGTAAAAGAATACGGGTATTGTCGTTAGTTTTTAGATTATTTTCATTCACATATAAAAGGTTTTTAAACCACAATCAAATGAAAATCTTTCCAAGTTGTATCTACAAAATTACGGTCATTTTACTGCCTTTAATGTGAGAAAGCACAGGCGATCGTCCGAAAATTAGAACATCCAAATATTGCCCAGACACTTTGCTATCAATTAGTATTTGATAAATGTGTTTGTACACGTGGTGTACATTGTCAGCATATCAGCTGTTGCTGGGCTGGACGTTAAGGTTTAGAGAGCGGACTCATCAAAATGGCGATGTTAGTTTAAGAATAGGTCTTCAAACATTGACAAGACCCGGTCGTGTCATAGAGGTTGATAATTAACCCGGAAAAAACGGCTACCCAAAACCCATTTGTACAAGGCGGGAGCTTAAAAGGCCACATGTAGAACAACATCGAACTGCTCTCTCCTGGTTTCTTTTCCTGAAAATAGTTCTGTTGTTTTGTAACACCGTTTACTACATGTAGTATACCATAATAGTTCGTTCATGTTGTTCGTTACCAAGTAATAAATAGTTGAAACGTGACGCAGGCATACCTATCTCTCTATTCTCTATAGTAAAGCACCTAAGCCCTTTCATAATTCATTGATAGAAGACAAAGCAGTTTGGAATAATAACATCACCTGTGATTTCTTTTGTCAGTTTTTTTTAAACGACATATTCATCCCATGGGACGGCCATGGTCTAGATATACCTGTGACCAGGGAAGCCATCTGTCGCCACACCGACTGAACCCTATCACATACCGTATCCTCAACAAGCTACGGAACTGTCGTAAATAAGTCCACCGCTTTTCAAAGCGCGTACTTTGGTTGCTGGGAACTGATATGTGCTAAAACGGATAGCAGGAGGGGGGGGGGTATTCTACTCAAGGTTGCACCTGTTCCAGTGTGCACCAACTACTGAGGGACGGCTAACGGGACACGTAAACAGTCTTTGTACCGGGCCTGTCTTAATGCACAGAGTTAATCCTAATCTCGTCAACATGTCAAAATGTCCCGAACGTCAAGCTGGTCTACCTGGCTCCTCTACAAGGAAAACAAAGCTGTAAAAACACACGGGCGTATTCTAAAAGCCTGTACTCGAAATGAAAAGGATGTTTTGAGAAGGTAGTTCCATAGGAACCGCTCTCTTCATTGAGGTTTGTTTTATCAGAGGTAGAAATGTAAAAAAAAAAAACGCTAAAAAGTTTCCTAAAATTTGCCCAAGGCTGGAAATTTGAAAGCTTTTGGATGGTGAAATATCACTACAATTCGTACCATACTGCGAAAGGTAAAACATTAAATATGCTGCCCTGTCAACACTGTCATCACATATACGTGAGGGTCAGTGCTGTCACAATACAGACCTACCTGTAGCCGAACTATACGACACAAATGCCCCGAAAGTGTCAACCTTTACCCACCAGACTTCAATCTTCACCTAGAAAACACCTACGAAGCTCGCTGTGACAGATTGTCGGTATACCTGTTGATTAAGGGCGGTGCGTGAACTATGCCCTTGCGTGTTTACGTCGTAGCACTTAGAATAAGTTGCGACAAAATCCCTATGCATATATGACATACCTTAGCTGTTCCACCATAATAGTTCTCTACGTCCTAACTGTCATCAACAAAGGCACAGGCTGTAAGATTGTGTTAGAATAGTGAACGGTACACATTTCAACTGGGACGTTGTGGTTTTGTCTAGCAAGAAAGCGTGACCATAAAGTCCTTTCTGAAGCTATTCTTTGTCTTGTAGTTACCATAACGGCCGGGATAAGCAACTCAAAGGATACCAAAGTAAGTCATAGAAATCATTACTCTTCCATGTACCTCTTGCTTGTGGCGGGACAACCATGAGACACACCCAGAGTTTATACGGGTCAAATTCCGGGTCAATCGCACCCCTGTGTCCTGTCCCGGTACACCTGGCTCATCTGACAGCCCCATGACACCTCACACACCTGTCGTAACCACCACCTACCTAGATCTTACATCACACACAACCCTTACCATTTTAGTACCTTAGCTAGTACTAGAAACACTCTGAGACTCAGATCTAACCCAACATTCACGACTAAAACTCCGTATACCAGAAGAAAAGCTACCGTTAGCCTAGGGGAGGGGGACAGCCACCGCCCTTAATACTAGTAGATTGTAGACCGCTAACTTTCCACCTACCCGCCCAAAGAACAAGTATCCTGTGACTCAACAGGTGTTCCGTAAGAACTCTACACTATCCAAACCTACCTCCGGACTGAGCCTTATGTATGGAGTCCGCCTTGTGTACTGGAAACTCCCTGTAGAAGTGCGACGTATAACATAGCATGAGAGTCTGTACACGGTCCCTTCCGTTCTTTTTTCTGTAACGGGCCAGGTCACCCGGGGGCGAGCGCTATTATCATGACAAAGGGCAGGGCGAGTGTGCGGGGATCATGTATCAGTAAACCCCACCCCGTTTGTTCATACAACACCACACTTCCATATCGCACACATTTCTCACATTCTATTTACGACGGAGAAAACAATATGATCGATGTATACGTATTTCTGTAATATTTCTACAGGCAATTTTTAATAGTTATTAATTAAATTTTTACGCGTTTCTTCTTTTATTTTAACGTAGAGGAAAACTCATTTCCGGTACATAAATATTTCTGTAGCTACTGATTCGAGTTCGAGAAGTATTTGAGTTCTGATCATAAATACTGTACTTTGCCAATAAATTGCAAAAAAAGCATATCGGGTCATAAATAAAGGGGTGGGTGTGCTATTATTTACATTTCATAAACCATAAATAATTCGATAAAACGCATAAAAACAAGCCAAGTTGCGTAATCAATAGTACTACACGATTGGTTATGAACGGCACTATTTGAATGTAATCTCCTTAACGGTTTTCTACAGATAGGGCTGTGTCTAAAGACTGTCCTTGTTGTATTCTGATGACACTTAGTCAAAGAGAGTGCTGTACAAGGTAGATGAAATTACAACCCCTTTCTCTGGCTGTTATATATACAACCTTGGGATTCCCGTGGGACTTAGTTATGTGGGACAATAGTGTGTGTAGCCTCCAGACCCGCATTGTACTAGCCTCTACCAGGCTTCGGGAAGCGACTGGAAAGAGTGGAAATTGGCCAAATAGACAGATGATATGCGCAGGGAGTTGGTCCGCGCTAAGAGAACAGTTTGCCGCTCACTCCCATGACATATATCGTTTTTTTTCCAGCCGCTTCCCGAAGTCTGGTAGAGGCTACCGTTGTACCTCCAGTGTTTGGTTCGAGCAGATATCATGCCAAAAATCAATGGGCGAAACTGTGTTGTTACGGAAGAATTCAAACTGTCAATACAATATAGGCGAGGTATAGAGGAACATTTGAACGAAATACACGGTGCATAACTTTTCACTGGATTGTTAGATAAAATATATTTCTTGAGTCGTGTTTTCGCGATCGTCCATTTGCATCTATCCCACTTTTGTCACTCATGCGTTTCATTGGACAATATCTATATTTACTTGTACAGTTCAGACAATGAGTCTTTTGTAATGTTTGTGAGCATACATATAGTGCTGGTGTCTCAGTAGTACAAATCTTTATTTGCAAATTATATTGAATCATATCGCATGCCCGAAGGCAAATTGCGTCAAAAAAAGTTACGAACAGCAGTAGAGAACTTACAACTACTGTCTGATCAACTTATACTACTATGCGAATGTTCTAGATTGATTGTTGTGACCGCTAATGCAGGAGAAAACAACAGACAGTCGCACACAAAAACATCGAGTAATCCTGTTATACAATTTCCTACTGTGTTTACATACTAAAGCCCCAAACTTAGGTAGGGTCGTATTACAGAAACTGTATCACTTTAAAAAGTAAGACATCCCTGTTCTCGTATCGTCTAACCTTTAGCACACTGGAGTAGCCGTCTGGCAAGAAATTGTCTCTATTGGTTACGGGGGCAGAAGAGAGGGTGTATGTAAATGCTTTAAATTTGCTACCCATGGCACAGGAAATTTGAACATTTTACCTTTGCGTGGAGATGTGGAAATGATAGTAAAAGAATTCCAAAACACGTAATTTAGACTTTTTTTAAGTGACCTTACGTTATACGTTAACATGTCGGTAATCACATGTATGCATGTTACATGTAAATTGTATGGTAAATCCTATGGTGCCTTCCTTGTAACATTCAGTCCCCGATACACATCACCAAAATGCATCTGGTGGTAAAACTCACTTAAATGCACTCGACTGGAGTGGCTGATGACTAAAGAAACGGAAGGGTTTTTAATCTGATTTCATCGAATACCTCCACTGAGCACCTTTGAATTGCGGAAGTACGTAACAGACATAAAGGGTGAGTAAGCTGCTCAAGTATGCTTGTTGTCACAAACAACGATGTTGCCATAACAGAACAATAGTTTGGGGGGAGTCACAAACAATGTACAGCGGTGAGTAGAATTTCGTGAAAAGCAACAGTTAAAGCATTCAATTATGCAATTTCAGGGCGATAAAACTGGATTTTCAAAGTCAATTTCCCGGTCATTCTTTCAATGTAGTGAGTTGAATCAATCATATCAAAGATCATACTGATATCTGTGTGGCAAAATCCGATGTCCTTGACGAAGAACAGTTGCTTGTTTTGCATCGTAGGATGTTTCTAGCTATTTATAGGTGGTACCCAAAAATAAAGGGACTCATTAGGTAGGTTGTTTTTTCGGGGGGGGGGTATTTCAAACGCTTCAAGTATGAAATAATACCTTAAGTATGCTAAGAAAAAGCAGTAAAAGTCAATATCAGACAGATTTTTTCACCTAGAATTATATATTTTTTGTTTTGTCGCCAAGAAATTGCACTGGGTGCCTTTAAGCCATTGCGGTGTGTTCTGCGACATTCTCACGCTTGTTGTTTAGAGGAATAACCGTGAGAAACCGCGCTGAAGAATGTCATCACTAAATCGTTTTCTCTAGCGGCTTACCCGATGGCCGAAAGCCTTAAGCATCATACATAATTCACTCTTCTCAAGTATGCGAATTTTTGGAATGTGTCGCGAATTCCTAACAGGCATGTTTTCCAATTTCAGTCAATAGGAAATACAGTAATTTAGTTTTATTGCTTCAAAGACCTAAATAGAGACGTAATGTGTAATTCTAGTAGCAGTATTTGCTTGTCTACATATTCAAGATCATGGCCATCAGCTGGACTGAAAAAACAAACTGTTTTCAAAATTTTGTGAGTAATTCAACAGTCTATCATTGTGAAACCAAACCCAGCCTGAAGTACGCCGTTGGTACAACAGAACCACGTAACTAGATCTAGGGATGCCTCTTAACGACAGGACATGGTGCTACAGTTACAAACACAGCTCCGGTATACCGGTACTAGCCTGGTGTCCAGTCTATCACGGTTAGGGCGGGTTCTCTTCGGGGCTGCAGGAGCTCTTCACCGCCCGACTCAGCTAGGTTCCCCGGAAGGTTTTGCACGTCAGGAGTTCAATTAGCCCTACGGTCAATCAGTCCTACCACGATGTGGTGGGGCTAATTAGGTCCTGGCTTACAAACCTCCATTAACAAAGCCCCTACAACACATCCCTGTTATTTTGGCGTCAGGTACATATCCTTCATTGAATGGAAAATCATATAAGCAAGAAACCCAGACTGCAGCGTCTACAAGTGTCAAACTGCGTAATATGATTAGTAACCCTATAGATGGAACGGTTTCACCGGATTAGTCCCAGTTATATTTAGGTTCACGTTTGTTCAGACTAGCGCTGGTCATGTTACATGTAGTAAGTACTACACACTACTGCACAATACTGTTATACCTGTGGGTATAGATATAGAAGTTAAGCACTACATTCACTTACTCACTATACACATATCGTAATTAGGTATCTGTCAATTACAACATTGGGTAACGGTAGGGAACACACTGTACTATATACACACCGCCGAATATTGTTGTTCTATATATGTGTACGTGGAGTAACAAAGTCAGCTGGAACTTGAGTGTACGTCAAATTATCTTTGTCCTTTGTGTATTAATGCTAGATCAAAAAATGTCTAGTCTACACTAGACTAACAAAAAACAAAAAAAAGCAGTAAATTAATCCAAGTAGGAAGAATACTTCGAGGGGAAATGTTACCCTTACTGTGACTCACTTCCCTGGCTAATTATTGACCCTATGTTTACCTATAAGCTAATTCTGCTGCACCCATATCCGCCTACATAAGAAGGCTTGCTGGTTACAATGGGCAACACTGTTCACGAAGTTATTAACGTCGTGTGGGCTGTATAAAGGATCGAACGATGTCTTTTCCCATTTTAGGGTTTCATACAGTATAGAGAAATTTATATTCCTTACAGCCTTTGATAAACCAACTCTAACTAATCATACAGCCAACTACATTTATGCAATTACCAAGAAGCGAGAAGATGTCGAAAATACCGGTGTATACTAGACGCTTATGTATACATCCATATACATTGCATATCATTGCTAAATGACGCGTGTGACTTATATACATGCGCTGTACACCCAAAAGGTAGCATACGTTCCCCTGATATATTTCGAAGTGTGCACCTGTTCTAAACCAAAGTTTGGTGAACACAGTCACACGGATATCTGCTAGTACGCAAGGTTCTCTCACGTATCCAGGTCACAATCACTAGTCTGTCCGAGTTGAAAAGTCAACTCGGTCTTATCAACGGACAGGCATGAATTATTATCTTAAACTACAATGGGGGAATTGTACCTAAAAGTAACTACATCATGCGCATGTAGTTATTTTACCTTAGGCAACATATATTATATGTACATATTGTTATTTTACCTTAGGCAACAGCAGCTTTTATGGATGACAACAGTGGGAAATGAATTTTGTAATAATATTGGCAGTAAACCTAGCACACTACACTATTAGGCATCATTTCTTGTTTAACAAGGTTTATGGTGTCAAAATTTGAATAAGTAGGAATCTTGTTTTTTTTTGGCCCGCCTTGTTTTTTTCACCATGTCACATTAGATTTGGAGTCTGGGGAGGATGTCATCAATAAAAATTACACGCAAAATGCATTAACTTTTGCAAACAATCTTTAACTAGAATAGTGTCTGCCGTGTGTTCGCGGACGGGGTTCGATGTACAATCAAGTTTGCTCCAGTTTATCATTCGTTATCATCAAAAGAAACAATATATTTAAATGAAACTATACCATAAAGTTCCTCTAAATTATTCTTCAGACGACATTGGGAAGAAAATGGTAGAAATTGTGTCAGGCAATATTACGAGTCTGTGTGTCACACATGGAGTCCTAATTCGAAGAAAGGGGGAAGTTATACAGAGAATTGGTGCATGTCAACAATGGTCGGGAGATCGAAAGATGTTTACAGTCGGTCTAGCGAACACTGCTGTTGTTTTGTAAAACAGAATTCGACTGGAACGTGTTAGTAAAAGGTTCATCGGCAAATGCTAAGAAAGACGACAGACATCTCTTCATGACACGAATTAGCTAATGAATAAAAAAATACTATCTAAACACCGCCAAGGGCCAATCATGGCGCCATCGGTTGAATTATTTCCTTCCCACACAGTTATACGGACAAAAATCACCTGTTAAGATGCCAAACCCCTGTCACATAATTCACGAAGTTGGCCTCCCGAACACTAGTCGAACGTCCCACAACCATGGTTAGGAGTAGGTCGGTGCAAAGTCGGGTCGACTGGTGGTTGGCGAATTCGTCTATACTAATGTGTCAAAATGTTTAAAACATTCGGGGGTCGGTCGGCAGGTTGAAACATGGTTGGCTGGTGTTCGACTGTGAGTCGGCAGAACACCGATCAACTGCTTTGGAGTCAGCGGTGTTTGGGGCGTGTTTATGGGTCAAATTTGACTCAAATTGAACTCAAATTCGCTTCGTTTCGTATAGAAGGATAGGCGTGTCCTACATCTGGTTAGAGTGCTCCCGAACGTCAGCCAAACTTGGTCGGTTAGCTGGTGCTCAGGAACAACTTCGGGGGAAGGTCGTAAATGTGTGACAGGGGCTTACAAACCACCCTCATACATGTACATTAACAAACACAAGACAAACTTCCTCCACCCACTCCCTAGCCTACATGTATAGCCGTGAAACTGTGTCTGTACATGTCACTACTAGGCACACAAGAACAACAACTTACCTTAAAAATACCGCTTCCAACCGACTGCAAAAATCTATCCTACAGGTAGAAACGACGGCGGCGAATCAATAAGAAAAAAAAAAGCTGATCGAAACTTGTGTCAGCAGCCGCCAGCCGTCCGACCAACGCCCTGTAGACCCTTGTTGACACAGCGGTGAGGTCTGCCTAAACACAGACCATACTTTAATCCTAATTTTCGTGGTGGATTTTCCTGTTCCTCTTCACACACTTCGTCAGTATACAGACCGTAACGTTGACTTGGCAGTGTTTATTTAGCCACTTAAAAGCTGAATACGCGATCAAAATGTATTTGATTTTAATTACAAATACAGAAACAGCTGGTGCTTTATTTGTTCCGCAAACTCGGTACAGAAAGGTCTCTATAACTTTGAACTCTAACATTTTATTGATATGTCAGGGAAAGGGGCGGGGTTTGGAATGAACGTACGCATGTACATGTATGATGTAACTGTATAAAAGTTTTTTGTTTTCTTCACCTTGATAAAGTAAGTCAGAAGGTCTCACGTGAGTACAATTGTCTGGCTCATCTGACGAGTCTGAAGTGCAGAGCACATGGTCACATGAGCTGCTGCCATGGCAACGGCTGTATGCGATGACGCAAATGAACTTCAGTAAGATAATAACAACACGCCAGTAGCATATACTATAAAAACAATGCCTCTTTTTTCATGAAAGTATAAATCATCAAAACTGTGTATATCTAGCACCAATTCTGACTTTACATTGATACACAAGAACTCCGGATCTTTAGATATCTACATTGTGAAGAACAACAAAGTACCATTTGATGACCTTTCATCATGTTTTTGATCTTGCATACTTCCCAGTTCTGTGGTCCACATGTTTACGTTAACATCATCACACAGTAGTTATCTCGTGAGAAATCAGGAAGTCATCGATCTTACAGCAGCAGAGGGTACTGAGAAACCACCAGGGTTACACGTATCAATAAAATTGGGCGCTTATTGTTTACTCAAACTATCGATGGGCGTGGACTTTCACCTGCCAGGTGACCGCATGAAGTCAGAGCGTTCATGACAACTCGAGATCATGTTGACGACAGTCGCGGGAAGACAGACGAAAAATGTCCAGGTACAAAATGACTAATAAACTGGTGGATGTACCAGCTACTAAGTATCTAATATCAGCCCAGAAAAGAACAAGAAACAGTCATGCCCTCAAATATCAGAGTTATCAACCAAGGATTGAGGTGTTCAAAACTTGTATTTTCTAAGAACTATCGTAGAGTGGAACTCGTTGCCAACAGGCACAGTTGGGGCAGCTGGCTATATTACACCGAACGACTCGTTACGCCTATAACCTTTGATCACCTAGACCTAAACATTGTTTAAAGTTGTATTACCGAGGATACTCAGTACTTGGTTGCAGCGATTTACACTCTGCGATAGTTCTAGATAAAGATCATTTATCCTAGAACTATCTCAACAAGTTAACAGAGCTGACATGGCAGCCTCATCCCGCTTTTCGACGGGTTTCGTCACAGCATCCGATGTTGTGATTGTTACTCAAGTACCAATCTCTCTTATCTGTAAACGTAGCACTATTGATCTACATTTGTTCTGTCACCTTTGAGTGGCAATTAAAGGGGAAACTTACAACTTTAATGCTCCTAGAATTTATTATCAATTATCCATCAGGAAGTATCGACGGTAACACCACGTTTTGGGGACATTTTTATAATCCCTAACCGTAATTTGTTAATTACTGTTTATAATAGGTTTAAACAGTAACCACGTATGGCGACATCAAAGCAACTAGACATAAGGGATGAGAGTGCAAGGCAAACAACAACGCTAAAATGTGCTTAAAGGCACCCAAAGTAATTTTAGGGCGAAAAAAATATTCTGGATGAGGAGATCTGTCTGATATGGACATTTACTGCCATTTCTCAGCACCATTTCATACTTGAAGCGTTTGAAATAGTCCCAAAATCAGTTACGTGAGGCGTCTCGTTATATTTCTTGGGTACCGCCCATAAATGTAGAGAACCAGCTTACCAAACAAAACAAGCAACCGTTCTTCGTCAGCGACATCGCATATTGCACCTTAGATATCAATATGCCATGGGATAGGATCAACTTTCTACATTAAAGTAATGACCAAAAAGCTGACTTTGGAAATCCAGTTTTGCTACACTGAATTTGCATTGGATGCCCTTAAGTGCTTGAATTTGAAATTTCTATTGCTGAATTTCATCCTTACCGGTTTTTGCTGCGTCTTCTCTTAAAATTCTTCAGTTCTTTCTTACAAATGAAATGACAGAGTGGCTCATTCAATCCATTGAAGGCTTCGTTTCGAGTTTTTTCCCTTAACCATAAGAAATGGGTGTGTCGTGAGTGAATTCCAGGCAAAAGTAAGCGGTTTAGAAAGATTTGGGTCAAATGAGACGGATGGCTGTTGTTGTGTAGATAGCTGCTGTCCCGCCCAAACGTAATACAAACAGCACATAGCTGTGTTACTGTTGTGCTGGAGGAATTTTAAATGGTTCAGGTTGGGGTACTCTCTTGTTTTCATGCTCTGTAACACTAACAGTACTAGAACATTAGGTCTCCAGGACCACAAATGTACAGATTGTGTTTGAAAATGGAAAAGCAAACAAACAAATAAAACAAACATAAATAATAGATTGCCCTCAAAAGTCATGGTTAGGTTTGAGTGTATTTTATTCAAATCTATAACATATGAAATTGAAGTATGGACATCACGATATTTGGACACTCTCTGATGTGTACTATACATGTAGTCAACAGAAAACACTTCAATGTAAGTTTCACCAAAGAAAACCACAGGGACATTTACTTTACTTACTCTACACAATAACTATGTATACTGAAGGAACTATTAAGGACTGTGTCAATAAAGTCTTTGTAACTTACAAGATATTGTAGGTACTTCTAATGACAGAGAATTAGAATTAATTGCAACATCACCATATCTCAAAATGAAAAGCAACTTTACCTAAAAATGTTAGGATTTTGAATTTGACTGTGACTTTTCTCCCTGTATGTACATTGAAGTGTTTATCTCCTATCTCTGCAGAGAAAATATATTTCTGTACAATTATACCTCACAGAACCGCACCACGTTATATATTTATTCAAACTAGGACGGACACTAGAATGAGAAGATACCATTTTGCTTTGCCAGCTATACAATTTTCTCACCTGTAAGGACTCACCTTTTGTGTGGTAGCTGTGTTAATTTTAACCAACAAACCCACAAAATAAAATTGTACGCAATGATTATGACACACATATATACCATTACATTTCAGGTAAGTTTCCTAACCAATGTAACCACCTCTACATTGTTACATTGTAGGCATCATTTTCACAGGATGGAGACCATTGGGCTAACAGTAAGCGGCTAATCATTGAGATCTTTGAAAGATCACTGAGAGATCATAGGAAGACCTTGGACTTGCAGATAATTGGAGAGCTGTTGAAAAACATGTTTTGGATGCTCCACAGTCTGTTGCTTCAGTCTATAAAATTCCACTTCATTGTTCAGAACCATGTTATCATACAGTCAGCATGTCGACACAGTGTCTGTACATGTGCAAAACCCATAGTATACATGTAACGGTATTGTGCAAAGCACTTTGGCAGAATGTCTCGTATTTGCATACTTAAAGATGAAATTCCACTTGTTGTTTTTAAATGATGTGTCGGAAAACGGGCAAGATTCTGATGCAACAGTGACCAAACATCCAACAAAAACTTTTAAATAATCCTGGTTGCACACATGATATTACAGGTTGCGCACAGGCACAGTATGTTCTGCTGATGTGCTCATACAGTCTCCGCAGTTTGACAAAGAATCCTCCCTGCTCCTGTCTCATACCCCCTCACTGAGCAGCTTCTTTCTTGGGTTTCTGCTGCTCTCTGTCCGACACGCCGTACTCGGCGTTGAAGGCCCGACCAATGATGAGCCTGCGCACCTCGCTTGTGCCCGCTCCAATTTCGTACAGTTTGGCGTCCCTCAGGAAGCGACCGGTGGGGTAGTCGTTCACATAACCATTTCCACCTGATGGGATAAAGTGAATTTATATAATTTTCTGCATACATACATTTGTACCATGTATTTGTCAATAGAAAAGCATCTATGACATTCATATCAATCTCATCTTTTAATTGTTCCACAAGAAAGTCTTTTACGTGGGGCATTCAGGGAGGTACATGTATCTGTGAGATGTTACAGAAACTTTTTTCAATGTCTTACTATTGTTATTTTTGGGTAAAAAAGAGAAGACATACCAAGACACTGGATGCCATCCAGAGCCACCTTAGTGGCACACTCTGCAGAAAAGAGGATGGCTCCAGCACAGTCCTGAGGAAAAGAACATTAAAGTGTGTCTGAACTACATGTACATGTACAGTTTATCTGGCATGCTTGAGTTTTACTGTACACAACTATTCCCAAAAAATGAATTTTGAGCCCTGCTGTAACATTGTAAAGCTTGGTTTGTGTTTGAGTTAAGCCACACGTCGAGCATATCTTAAGAATAAAGAACCCGCCACATTTATCAAAAATTTCAGAGGTACATTCCACTGGAAAGTGGTTCAAACCTTACACGTATCAAGTATCTGCACACAGGAATGATTATGTCTTCCTACCTTAGGTATGATACAGCCCCTGTCCAGGGCCCTGGCAACATTGTACACATACGACCTGCACACGCTCAGCTGGGTGTACATGTCTGCCATTTTTCCCTGCATCATCTGTACTCAAACAACAAGAAAACATTTAAAAAATCTGTCATGATTGTCCTTGGGATAAGATTTCAAGATGAAGTCCACAAAAGCTAGAAATTTACTGTTAGTCACTGCGAACAAAAGTTTGTGGTCTGAGAAAAATGGACAGAATTATTCATTCACAGAGGTGGCGGGTGCAGAAAAAAGAAATTTGGCGAATTACTTGTTCATGGTTATGATAATTTTGCAGTACACAAGTGACCACGAAAACTGCGAAATATAAAATTACCATGAAAAAATTGTGAAGTTACAGTATATATGAATGATTATGTAATAACTATTCATTGTACATTTATATACGAATGTAGAGTCAGTCCATTCAACAGTTATGGATTTTTGTTAATAGTTTGGGTTCTAATGTTCGTGTTAGCAAAAGAAAATGATTCCATCTTTAACTTCTTGAGTACCTGGAAGGTGCCTATCTTCTGTCCGAAGGCTTCCCTGGTGTGTAGGTATTGGATAGTTACATCTAACACAGACTGCATCACTCTGTAGAGAAGGGAAAAACAATACTTATCACAAGTCTTGTCAACTCAAGCCTAATGTACCAACATATCAAAAGCTCTAATGATAACAAAGAACAGGGTTATCACCAGAATGTTTTCATATTATAGAGGTCAGGAAGGATAACTTGCTGTGGTGCAAGACAAGCATTGAGTCCCAAAGTCCCAAACATATGACACAATAGGGAGTCCCAAAAATTATCAAACCTCACAACCCTTCGAGACACTATTTCCCGCTCACTGAGGGACAAATTACTTGGTTATACATGTATCTTCATTTTAACTATTAACTATGGCATGCATGGCAGGCACAATCTAAATTTGACCGCAACTATACAGTACCCAGTAAATTGGTGCAGCGTCTTTTACTAGAACATTCCACACAGTAACCACACAGGTAAATAGCATATAACATGATGTTACATGTGTATGTATTCTCAATCCTTCTACAGCCTCACATTGTGTTATTCATGAACTTTGCTAAACATTACAAATCTAGTAGTTACAGACAGACAGTTGATTTGTATTTACCCCAGAGGACCAGCAGAGAGGACACATCTCTCAATGTCCAGCCCAGAGAAGAGCACATAGATGCCTCTGTTTACTTGTCCTAACACATGGGAGGCTGCAGAAGTAAAGAGAGAGCAAACACTCAGTTAAATAGAACATAAGACATAGGAAAGAAGGACTCAAGAGCTGTCAGAGTTTCTCTATTATTTCAAATGGGTTTGCTCAATGCAAGTCCAAGAGACTGTTCTGGACACTGTACTAAGTTGGAGATGGTGGTGAACATTGGTTTTGGAGGTTTGTGGGGGGAAGTACTTACCGATGTCCGTGGAAAAATGATTTTGCTGTAGAATTGGTATTTGGACAGTGTAATGATGTGAGCTAGACCAGAATTACAAATTTAATAATTGGGTGGACAGGAAAATTAATGTTTCTGGTTTCAGTCCTGAACACTTTTTTTAGGTATCAGCTAAAATGATCCAACAAAAAAAGTAAAAAAAAGTTACACAACACATCAGGACTGCCTGAAGGACCCGTCCAATATTCTGAAACCCAACTCTGACTGAGTGAGAAACTCTGACTAGCCCATGTCCAGCACGTCGGCAGAACGTACTGCGCCTGCGCGAAACCCGTAATGTACTGTACATAGCAATTTGGCAGAATGTCTCATATAAGGTTGTATTCGCTCATATAAGGTTAGCATTTCGACAGCAGTTTCCAAATGTTGTGTCGGAAAGAATATCCTCTGCAACAGGCAAAATTCTGATGCAACGTTGACCAAAAACCCAACGAAAAACGCGAAAATACAGGGTTCTGCGCAGGCGCAGTACGTTCTGCCGACGTGCTCCCATGTCCCAGTCTACCAAAGGGAACACCTTACCCTAAACATCCTGCACCCCCGAGTGCCCTCTCAATATTCAAACCAGAGAACAGCACACGTATCCCTTTGTTAAGCCCTCCTAAAATGTTGGAGGCTGCAACCAACAAAAATTAGTCAGGAGAACAAAAATCAGCAGGCATCAATTCATCAATATGCTTGCAAGATTGGTATCCAGTATTGTGCAACAACTCAAGCATCATAATTAGTCTTTTCTTGTCGCCATGCTTTTTGAAGAAGACCACTTTTCTTTGATCCCCTGGGTGGTTGTCTTAGACAAGTTTGACTGTAATATGTGTTCATCACTTCTTACCTGGCACCTTGCAGTCCTCAAATACCAGCTCACAGGTGTTGGAGCCTCTCATCCCCAACTTATCTAACTTTGGGGATGTGCTGAACCCGTCCATACCCTGAAATAATTAAACTTAACATTACTAGTAGACATTTCAGATTCGGAAACTACAAATCTACTACAAAGGTAACATTTGCAAGCAAATGTTCTCTTATTTACACACAGATATATGTTTGTAAATTAGAAAAATAGTTTGTGTGTAAGACAGTTTGAAGTACAAATGTAACTACAAGTACTTTTTAGTTAACACAAGAACAGCCTCCTACCTTCTCTATGATGAAAGCTGTGACCCCGTGTTGAGGTTTGGAGGCATGTGGCTCAGTTTTAGCATACACCACCAGGGTGTCTGCATCTGGACCATTGGTGATCCAAAACTTTGTACCATTCAGAACATAGTAGTCACCTGTGGAGATAACGTGGTCTAATGTAGCTTTGTTCTATACAACAATATGCAGGGTTTATTAAATATGAGGAAAATATACAGTACAGTTTTATTAAGAAAATCATCCTCGCAGCATGAGGTACATGTGCAACAAGCTGGATTAATTGCACTGATTTGTAAAATCATGTGGCAGAACATCAACTTACATACAAAACAAAGAAAACTGAGGCAAAGCTATACTAACTATGGGTGCAAAGTAAGCAAGAATGTCCTAGAACAGTCTTGACTAGATAGACTAAGTCTAGTTCTACAGGCGTATGGCCTGGCCTGATGCAGGAAAGGGTTTTTTGATCTTTGTGTGGAATGTGAGTGCTGTGCCATTTCTCAGAGATACAAAAATCATACGTTCATTTTATCTGATCGTTGCCATGGTAACTCACCATGTTTTTCTGCCTTGGTTCTCATGGAGACGACATCTGACCCTGCGTTGGCCTCTGACATGGCCAGCGCTCCGAAGTGTTCCCCACTGATCAACTGCACAGGAAACAGCACACAGTCAGGTAATGTTAGATGTACACATAATGGTGACTAAATGTTTGGTAAATGTGACTGCAATACATCTACTCAGGTGTAGTAGTCCACAATATACATTTGTAGACAATTCGTAGGTGCCATGTTTCTTGTTCTTTTCTGGGCTGGTATTCAGATACTTAGTGGTTGGTACGTCCATCAGTTATATTTCTAATATTAGTCATTTTTTACATCATGCATATTCTGGACATTTTTTGTCTGTCTTCCAGTGACACCCACTGTAGTGTAGGTATCTTTTCATTTCCATGGCACTGGCACCCCTTTCATAGTTTAACAACATGTACATTAGCAGTGATAGGATTAATGAAATTAATAAATGAATGAATATGTACCTTAGGCAGATATTTGGCCTTCTGTTCCTCATTACCGTTCCTAACGAGCTGGTTGACACACAGGTTGGAATGTGCTCCATAGCTGAGGCCGATGGCACCACTGGCACGGGAGATCTCCTCCATAGCCAGGCAGTGGTCCAAGTATCCCAGACCTGTTCCTCCATATTCAGCTGAGGAAACAAAGGCATTGTGCTAAATACTTAGCATAAGTGAAGACAAAGCTACATAGCAAAAGACTATGGCAGACACAAAACATGATGATCATATCGTGTACCTTCTTGAATTTTCTAAACTGATTATAATACAGTGTTGTACATGCAATTGCTATTTTCTTACTTGGTGCAGTCATGCCCAGCAGTCCCATGTCTCCTAGCTTTTTCCAGAACTCCTAAAAATCAAAGGACAGAAATGTATCTTTATTATTTGTTGCTTAAACATAGACACAAGATGAAGACAGTTATTACTTCAAGTTTGTAGGTAAAAATTAAACTGATCCATTTCAGACTGAGGAGGAAGCATGACCCTTTCTTGAGTAGAAGCTTATAGTAATGAGTCTACATGACATGTATAAATCTGAAAACTGGTGGCAGCATCAATTGGGTTGTCATTGCATGATCTTACCAAATTTGATCATGATTACTTTATCCTCTTCTTCTTTCTTACTGCTGCCTTAGCCCCATTTCTGGGTTTATTAGCAGTTGTAACCTTTACTAGGATGTACATTGACAATTATATTATTAAGGTTTCCTCAATTTGGTTGCATAATAATGACCATTTCTACTGCATAGCCTTACAACTGCTATTTTCTAGTGGCTACATGTACATTACTTAAACTTACTTACTTATGATTACATGTACATGGGATGGGTAAATTACACGTTCTGACAGAGCTAACAGAGACTTACTCGGATTCCTGGGAAGTCATTGTTCTTGTCGATTTCATCTGCCAAGGGTGCCAGCTCTTCTTGGGAGAACCTAAACACAGCCTCTCTCAGCTAGGAAAATGGGCAACATGTCAGAAGTTTTTCGTAAGTTATAAAAGGCATGCTAGGCATCCAATGCAAATTATTTCCTTGGTAGTGCAGTGCTCGTTACAAACTTTTGTGGTAAAGATTAACCATTTTCCATTGGGATATACTGTGCCTCTCTTTTCATGTTATATGTCTGTGTATAACAATAGTATGAATATGTTTTGATAGTTGACCCTTGTTTGACCTTACCAACGTGTACCAACCCAGGCACCGCCCACCCCCCTCCCACCAAAAGCATGATATCAAATTACGTAACAGAAAATGGTCATTTTCACCTGTTTCTGGTCTTCTGTGAGCCCGTACAGGTCGTCATCTATTTTTACATACTGACTGCAAGACCTGGCGCCGGTTTGGGCTGCTCTTGGTCCGCTGAGTTGGGAGAAACGAGAGAAAATGTTGCCAGCTCGCAACGCATTGCGCCACACTGTCGCCATCTTGGTGTAGAGACTCAACCATTCTGTATGAGGGGTGTGAATTTCTTTTAAATACGAAGAAGATGTGTTTCTTTTGCCGTATAATAAAAAGATTACAAAACAATTCTTGTCATACCACTTGAAATCGATTTCACCATTTACAATTATAGCATATTCAAATCATTTTCTGTCTTTATTTATCATTTCTGGGATGGCCGTCTAATCCCAATGATATAAAATGGTATACTCCTAGCTCAACCATTTTCCCTTGCACTTCCCTATAACTCCGCATGAGGTCTCCATGCCATGCTGTACATTTAGTAGCACTGTCATTGGTACTACTTTGCCTTCAAGAATGTTTTGCATGTCGATAGATCTATATTCTTGGCTTGGCTTCGTGTCCGAAGATTTCAGGGGCCCTTCCCTCTTCTGCTGCACGCCCGCTGGTGGCTAACAAGTCCGACATGTTGCAAGTCCAAAAATTAGAAAGTTTCAAAATTATCTAAAGGCATCCAACGCCATTTCAGGGCGGCAAAATATGAGGAAAGATGTTAGTTATATCATTAGAATTATTATTTAGCAACATCACATGCTTGCCTCACAGATATCAGTATGCTGTGGGATAGGATTGATTCAACTTACTAAATTAAAAAAAAAATGAAAAGAAATTTGATATTGAAAATCCAGTTTTGCCACCATGAATTACAATGGATGCCTGTAAAGCTAGTGTAGTAATCCAGACATAACAATGGCAAAGAATTTGAGAATGACAACAATTTACGTGTTGATTTATTTCATTTTATATCAATAGCAAATAAAAAGGAACGCTAACCACACAACCTATTTAGTAAAAATTGTCTTTGACTTATAATGTTTCATTGGCATCAACAGTATGAGTTCTCAATACTAATAAACTCCTTGATCTATTTAAAATAAGTTACATGTGCAACTGAGTCTTAAGAGTAATATATACGTATACAAACAACTATTGTTTGGAGCGTATCACAATCAGTTATGGCCACCAAGGATATACTCTGGTAGACTCCATTGTATGAGATTATCTTGACAGAGATTACAATTATTGTGTACAAAAATGAAGTAAAAACACTTATTTTATTTACGTAGTTGAGTATTTACGTAGACACACTGCCTCTACGGCTTAGACTATGGTTTTGACTTATCTACACTTCTGGACGTAAACTTTATCTTATCTCCTCTACCATATATGACAGACCAGACTTCACTTTCTACAGTTCTCAAATGTCTTCTTAAAATCACGTTTCCACAAGACAGGTGCAAATTTCTTTGGTGATATTTTGTGTATACGACATGACGGTTACACGTAATTAAATCATCATAAGCAGCCGACTGCGACTACTTAACGACTAGGTCGTTAAAAAAAAAACGCTGACAAACGTAAAGAAATAACCTTGAATCTGACGCATAAATACATGTGAATTATTAGCCGCTTGTTACGCTGACATCTAGAGGCTAAACCATGTAAACATATTTACAAAACATAAAATAAAACGATTTTAATTGGAGCATCTCAGGTTATAATCTGTACACCATCTTCAAAACCGCCTATTTCCATATCCAAAATATCAATTACAAGAATCAGCCAGCTTGATTGAGAATGTTTAGAATAGTAAATCTATAGACGGCAACCCTTTTCAGGTAATGTTAACAACGAACCGCTCATCAGAAACTGTAGCTAAATCTATATGAGGCGTGGGTGTAAAAATCTGCTTGCAAAAATCTGCTACAAAATTCAGTGTCTGTCACGAGCACGAGCAATTTCGATGTGAAGATTCGAGCACTTCCTTTTTTGTCGTTTCATGTACGTGTGCAGGTGCGTGATTATCAATCTACTTCCGCAAAACTTACCGGTACCTTTCTGAGCTGAACATGCATGCCATCCCGCTCATATGATATGCTACAGAGAGCGTCGTAGAAAATTTAAAGCATTGTTCTTAAGCCCCTGTCAGACATAGCGGAATATGGCCTCCCGAACACTAGCCGAACTTGCCCCAATCCTGGTAAGGAGTAGGTCGGGACTACTGTTCAACTGTGCCAGTAGCCGATTGTTTCAATATGTTGAAAACATTCGGGTGTGGACAGGAGGTTCAGCCATGATTAGCAGTGGTGGTTACCTGGTGCTGAGGGTTAGGTCGTGGTGTGATTGGCAGTAAAATGTGACTCAAATTTAACATAAATTCGAATCGTTTCGCATAGAAAGGTAGGTATGACTTAAATCTAGTCAGACTGCTCCCGAACTCCAGCCAACCTTGCAATTGGTCGGCTGGTGTTTGGGGGAAGGTTCCAAATGTGTGACAAGGGCTTTATACATGTAGATGTACATATGTGGAAATCTCTTTTTTAGTAGATTCAGATAGCATCGCTGCCTTGCGGAAACGGAAGTGTTGTTGACGTCATCGCATGACGTCACGATGTCGTCAGAGAGTGCCATCTGGTGATGACCTTGCGCGGTTCGGCTAACATGTCTTGCCAGTGGAGAAGCTCCTCCCCCCGAGCGAACATGAACGGTCCCAGCACGAACCTGTGACGTAAGACAAAATACGTGACCAAATTATCATGACGTCATTCTAGACGGCACACATCTAGCACGTACGTACTGCGCATGCGCGAAACCATGATTTTTCACGATTTACGTTAGGTGTTTGGTAAACGTGGTATCAGAATTTTACCTGTCGCAGACGACATCTTTTCCGACATAACATTTGAAAACTACAGACGGGATGTTAACCTTATATGAACTTATACGACTTTATAGGAGACGTTCTTTCTGCCGAAGTGCTGTGCAAAATACATTACGGGTTCCGCGCAGGTGCAATTCGTTCTGTTGACGTGCTTACCACACACATCTAAATCACGGTGGATATTATAAAAAAATATATATACATGTATGATATAAGATATGTTGCAAAGGACAGGCAAGCATGCACAAGTTGCATGCATGATATTGGATGTTCTTGACAGGCACAGTAAAAAGCAAAATGAGATATTGTCAGGGGCCCAAAAGTGATATGAACATCTTATTGCAGACTTGTTTTCTTATATTGAATATGACAAGGTTTATCTATGTTTAAAAGTGTATGCGGGTGGCATCCTGCCTTCTTTTTCTGTTTTTTTTCTTGCTTACTTGTTTTGTTCCTTTTTTTTCTGCCATCACTGCCTTTTATTTTAATTGCCATTTTCTTTCCGGCACTCCAATACGTCCTATACTACTTTAAAGCTTCCCCGTTGCATCAGCTTCAAAGGATGTGTTTTAAACACGTAGTGCTGTATCAGTCAATAACCATTAGCCACACTTTGGACCAGTAACGATTTCTTACGACCCTTAAGTGGGGTTCTACACACCATTTACATTTCGTTACGGTATACTGCTTCCTGGGAATATTATTTACTAAAACTCTCTGTATTCCCGCCATCGGCTTGTGATCGACGATCGAAGAGGTGGACTGAATTCAAGCGTGTTTTGCCTCCAAGCAAGGCGTGCTGGTTGAGAGATACGCATACACAATAATCAGTTCAATTTAGTATTCGGGACACGTAGGTTCGACTGGAACCGTTCCTGCATTCCAGTTACTGTATGTTTTTCCAAGAAATTTCCAGAACTTGCGTAACACAACAAGGAATCGGAATGCGATTTTATTGGCAGAACCAAAAGACGATCTGAAAAGGCGATCAACGGATCTAGAAGAGCAACCTTTTAGACTGCGAGTTTCTTAATTGTGACGAGCCCTAATTCAAATTGGGTACCCCCCGGTAAGTGTGTGGGTGAATTCATTTCCTCTCAGCCTGCAGGAGGCCATTTAGACTGCCAACGTGACCTTAATGTCAATCTGCGGGTACAAAATCCACTTTACTGCATTCAAGACCTCTGACCTAAGATTTTTGACCTTGGAATGACATTCTGACCTGATTTTTAGATTGCGTCTATGATTTGACGACTTGGATTTGATATTTTGTTATTATCTACTTTTGTTAGCTATACTTCTTTGTTATGTTTCTCAGTGTTATTAATTTTTGTGTCCATGTTATGTTATCTATGTATTTTGGTTTTATATGTTGTATCGTTTTCTTGTCCACCCCCCCCCCCCCAGAAATCAGCATACATGTAACTGTAGGGGCAAGCCAGTATGTAGATGAGTGACTAGAATATTGACTTTGAAAAATCGGGTTGACGACCTACCTGCCGTACTCCTCGTCCGAGCTGAGTTTGCCGTTGCCCGTGGCGACGATGGACAAGAAATAAAACAAACAAACAAACAAACAAGCAAGCAAACAAACAAACAACATACCTGCCGTACTCCTCGTCCGAGCTGAGTCTGCCGTTGCCCGTGGCGACGATGGTGACCTGCACGCTGGTCTGCTCCAGCTGTTTGGCGGTGACGGTGAAGGAGAAGGACTCGTTGTACACCTGCTCACAGTGACCCTGCTGCGGGGCCGTCTTCTTTGTCTTGACGGGCTTCCTGCCGTGCATGAGCTGTACCTTCACGTACACGGCTGGACAGGGAGGCAGGAAGTAGGCCGGTACTTGACTAGACTTTATTCAGATCCACCTTTAGCTTTAGCATCGCTATTCCTCCAGTGGTCCATTACATAATACAGTACAACAATACAACTTTATAAAATAGCAACTGCCACACAATAACGTTGACACATGGTAACAACACAGACCACTGTACTTAAAAATACAATACATCATATCCATTAAACAACTGTCCTATCGTGTGAAGTGTTCCAGTTCGTAGCCATTCGGTACAAGAACCTCTTCTTTTCGGCGTTTGTATTTAAGTTGGGCAGTATCCTCAGTGTGATTTTCCTACCTGTGTCATCAAATTCCAACCTTCTGAAGTTTTTGGCGCGCAAAATGACGACTTTTAACCTGTCCATGGACGGCAGATAGGACAGAGACACGTTCAGCTCACCCACGGTGGACGCCTGGGAAACAGGGACAAACAAAATAGGGGGTCAAGATACAATCGCTATACATAAAACATGGAAAAATTCACAGATGTTTCTTTACATTCTGCAAACATTCTGTCCCTTATACGTCGGTGTAGGTTAGACATCCAGGTAATGAGATACACAGGGTAACAGTAAGGAACAGTAACTCTTTTCTTGATTATATTGTCCCTTAGAAGTGGTATTACACCTCATACATGTCTAAAAGGTGAACAGAAGTAAGACCATATTGATTTGATTATATAAATTTTCGTCCGTTCAACAAAAAAAAGTATGCGACCATATTGTAAATCACACCCCTGAGGCGTCGCCAAAAACATGCTGACCCACATGTGCAGCGTCCTCCAGGTCTCTCCACATCAGCTCGTCCTTGGCCAGGTCCACTTCCGTCAGCGGCAGGATCACGTGACCCAGGGAGTGACGTACCCGTCTCCTGTCCATATCGTACACCGACAGTCTGAGCATGCGCTCTCGCACCTCCGTCTCCGAGACCTGGGAGTTGGGAACGAGAATAATCTGAGCATCGTGCAATCTGATGTTCTGTCATGAAAGTTCACCTGTGTTGGTAGTAGCATAGCTAAAGGCATCCAATGCAATTTCAGGGCACCAAAACTAGAAATATTCTGACTAAGGCAATCTTTGTGATATTGACACAATAGCCCCACATCTGAATCAGCATTTCGTACTTTGGGCATTTGAAACTGCAGAGACAAGCCAAAAGATGAGTCCTCTATTATCTCGGTGGTACCCTAAAAATCAGCAGGGCCCTTCTATTAACCATTTTCCGTAAGAATTGTGAGTTTTGCTCCATGAGGGTCAATATACACTAGGCTAGTGTGGTTTGAACTAAGTAGATAAATGATTAGAATGTTGGCTTTGAAAAATAGAGTTTCCAAGCCCTAAAAACTTCACTGGATGCCTTTAAAACCTTTTGTTCCAACACAAAGAATTGTTCCCACCTAGAGCTTTCGACCAGCTACTCTGGTCGTCTTCAATAGACTAACCCAGTGAGACTTGTCACGTGGCTTCTCTGAAGTTTGACACTGGGTCAAAGGTACCAGATGCCATCAAGAGTGACTGCTCGAAAACCTCTAGCCGAGAACATTTCTTTGTGTTGGAACAAAATGTTTAACTTTAAACAAGTCTAATATTCTATTGGCTTGAACACACGATAACCTGGAGTAACATTTGCTCCCAAAAAGCTTCAAAGACAAAACTTCAAAGCCATGTCAGTTCACACCCTTTGGTCTATATATATTGACCTATTTGAAAGCGCACTGCGCCTTTGTTCGCAGTTGGCTACTTGCGTGTTTTAGGCGGTCTAGTTCTTTGAGATGACGCTGCCAGGCGTGTCTTTTGGTGTCTTTGATGCTACGGCCTGGTATCCTTCCAAGAACTCAATCAAAGACAAAATGTATGATCGTCCTTTGATTCAGTTTAGAAGATGAAAACTTACGAAAAAAGGCCATCCACCCAGAATACCGAACTAGTACAGGGGCCCATAAGGGGCGAATATCTCTTACTTGCTGTTTCAAATCAAATCAACGTTTATTCAACCAACTTGGCAGTCTGGAACTCGACTGAATTGCATGTGTTAACACAAGAACAATTATGTCAACATTCTATCAGTTAAAAGTATTACATTACATGACGATGAATTAACATATTTTAAAAGTACGTCGACGAATAAAACCAATTCATATGCTAATAGTAAAAACTTCTTATATCGGACATCATCAACACAACAATGATAAAAAAGAAGTACATAATATATGTATACAGCTAGTGTAGACGGGCGTTCCTACGACATGGAATATGGGCCTTACTCTAGATTTTGGAAGTCTTTCATGGCCCTCACCACAAAGGAGTTTTTGTGTGTAACAGTCCGGCTGATTGGGAGTTTGTACGGTGACCTGCGTCTCAATTCGTAACGTGGTTCAAGATGATTGGATTTAAGGAGAATGAAAATGGTGGGCCGGTAAAACGTGTCTCTTTCTTGATTAATCAGATTGTCATTTAGGTCAGGACTCGATTGTATGGAGCAGATGTAATTAAATAAATGTAAATATATCTAGACCCAAGTTTAACCTAAGGAAAGGCTAATCTCATACTATTCGTAACAAACGGGACAACCTTTTGTTATATGCAGTATTTGCCAATGTAGCGTAACGGGAAATTTAATTTTATTTCATATACTGCAGCGAACTGTGGACCACAGTCTGACATCCCGTCCTTAGTACTGAAAGTGCTTCCAATAGCTTGCAGATAATTCACAGAATAAGAAACGGAGCAGTGTGTTGTTAGGCTTGGCCATATGAAGGAAAACATTATGCACTTGTAAGCAGTAATTTAAGACATGAATTTTCGCCTCACCTGGAAGACGAAGGTTTCGTTGAAGCGAGGATTGAGGGTTTTCCTGCGCACTTTGGACTGTTGAGACATCCGTTCGTCAGGCAGGAGGTACACTCGGACAAACGTGTCTCTGCGGGAGAAAACAGCAAAAATGTCAAAAAAAGATACCCACAACATAAATATTTGTGATACATTTTGTCTAATGCTTTTACGAGAGTACTGCTGACGAATACTGTACTACCACATGGTGCAACCCACTCCCAACCATACATGGGCGTCGGCCTTCCGAACACTGGCCGAACGCCCGCCAACCATGGTGAGTAGTAGGTCGGCGCGACGTCGGCTGGTGTTCGGTGAGATCAGCTACTATTCGACTGCGCCAGCCATTTCACAATGTTTCAAATATTCGGTGGTTTGTCCGGAGGTTCGGCCTCGTTGGCTGGTGTTCGGCTGTAAGTCTGCAGAACACAGAGCATACCGTTCGAGAGCAAGTCAGCTGTGTTCTTGGTGTGTTCTTGTGTCAAATTTGACTCAAATTTAACTCAAATCCGTTTCGATTCTAATATAAAGGTAGGAGTGGCCTAAACCTGGTCAGACTGCTTCCAAACGTCAGCCGAACGTTTCGGCTTGCGTTTGGGGGGGGGACTGACCTGCTGGCGTTGTTCTTGTCTCGTGCCGGCAGGTGTTTGACCTTGAGGATGGACACTGTCAGAGTCTGCACCGAGGCGTCGAACACCACGGAGAACCAGATTCTTCCCGACGGGCTCGGGGGGAGGTGCTTCTCCGTCTCGTCGTCTTCGTCTGTGTACCTGAGACAAAAAAAAGAAAATAAGAAACAACATACAAAGAGTATCATGAAAGTTCATCTGTGTTGGTAGTTACATGTTTGGAGTTAAAACCTTTGGTCCAACACAAAAAATTCTCTCACCTAGAGCGTTCGACCAGTCACTCTGGTCTTCCTCAGAGAAGCCATGTGACAAGCATGAATGGGTCAGTCTGCTGAGGAAGACCAGGGTAACTGGTCGAAAGCTCTAGGTGAGAACCTTTTGTGTTGGATCGAAAGTGTTAACTCTAAACAACATACCAATAGTTTAAGGTTAAAACTTTCGATCCAACACAAAAAAGATCTCTCACCTACGTAGAGCTTTCGAATGTTAGACTGAATTATCATTTGCTAGGTTTCGGAGAGAAAGGCTGTACGATGAGCTAAAAAGTCAAGGAAACGCGTAGGGTTTAATTAGACAGCATTGTAAAGAGACATTAAACGTTGGATACCTTTATGTTATGAGAACTGATAGTGGCTGTTAAGTCCATAACCGGTACTAACTCACTTAACATTCTTGGCACGTGTTTTAGTTGATCGCTCAGACATTTTGTCTAGCGACGTATATATCTGGGCTGGAAGCCAGAGATGCGCGCAGTTTTTTTTTTCAATTCTATCACATCTAATAAAAGTCTCCACCAGTCACCAGTGTTTGTTGCAACGGTCCACCCATTCATCACATCATCACCTTTCCGCAGAACTCAATTTTGAAAGGGGGATGTTTGCGGGTAGTATAGCCATTAGGCCATGTTGATGCGATTTTATAGATGCCATCCTCTGGGAACTGATGCAAACGAAAACTGATGCAAACGTGCGAATAAAAAAAAAACCTTCAAGTTGGCAAAAAAAGTTGCCTTCATTTTTAATTACACAGAGTATGGATGATGGCGAATAATAGATTCTTCATTTTTATTTCTTCACATTTTCTTCTTTCTTTGGAATAGATGTTGGCATTTTACGACATTAGTATCATTTTCCAATATTATTTTTTGCAATTCACGGCATATGTTTGCTCATTTTGCAGCTCCATTGTACGATTGATAGCATGGTGGAAAACTTTTAGTTTGGAAAACGAAAGAAAATTCATGCGCGCGCGGATGTCATCCACATATCAACATGGCCTAACTAAGGCCAATGCCAGGCTAACGGCTTTCATACTTTCATACTGAAAGGCTTTCATTGTACTTGAGCACTTTAATCCTTAAGAAGGACTCCCTTTCACTAATCGAGTACCGGCAGCTTTACTTTTCCCAACTGTATCCAGACTGCACGAGGTCTGAATCTACAATGCTGGGTTAATACCCACCGGTGGGCGTTTCAATCATAACAGGCGGAAAAGTAAGACCACCTCGGCGTAACCTTCCCGCTGAAGGGCTCGGGGAGCTTTTTTGCTCTTCACTTTCCTGTCACTCCATAATGCCTGGCCTTCAGATGTCAGACATGTCATAGGGTGGTATAGGAAGGATGATTGCGGTTCGTTATACCTTCTTTTGTTGCAGCTCTACCTTTTTTACCTTCGCCAAGAAGATTATGTTTTCAGTAGTGTTTGTCTCTTTGTGAACAGGATAACCCAAGAAGCTTTATATGCATTGTCATTAAACTTTTTAGGTGGGTAGGTCTTGATGAGTCCTAGAAATGATTAGATTTTGGGCCCCCTGGCAGCTTTTGTTGGTACTGCAGCAGGACTTCGGTTTTAAATTTGATATCTCATGATCTGGTCATGTTAGGGTCACGAATTTTGGATGGCAGATAGCTCTTGGGCTAGTAAAGAAGTGACACAAGTTTGGGCTCCGTATTATCACTGGACATATAATGATAATTACAACGTGAGGAACAGACGTAGACTATTTTAAGATCTGTATACAGTTTGAATCAGTGCTGAAATCGTTTAATAGTTACTGTGTGATAGCTAGAATTTGCACACGGAAAAGAAACCGCTAAGTACGCCAGTGAGTATTCAGTATTCCGCCCAGTGCTGCATATATGAGGAAATCTGCGGCCCAAATCATTGCCTTTCGCCCGTTAGTCGGAAAACGTACTGTTACTGCCATGGAGTGATTGACAGCCTAATAGTTTCCAACAGGTCCAACGGCCTGGATTTGAATTTTAACGCACGTGTAATGTCTAGGTGCGGAGTTAATCTTGGTAATGTGTGTTGAACGTCGTTTCGCAAGGACATAGCCATGATGATGTATTCTTTGACCGTCCGTCGTTTGACGGCGTCACATCCTGCCGTACCCTAAAACGTCGGGGAGATTTTCGTCCGCAGCTCATCTCTTGACATACCTCAGTGAAATTGCAAAAGACCCGGGCTGGAGAATCTCCACTGAGGCGTGTAATAAAACATCATTTTTATTACAGTTTATTTTTTATTCTTTGATCTACTATTATATATCTTTGGTTAATCCTTTTGTGTTTGATCGCGGCGTTTATATACATTTCGTCAACTTGAGTGCGTCGCCATCACCACCGTCTTGTATTTCTTTTCTTCTGCTTTATGAAGGGCGGGCTAAGATGGCAGCTTCTAACACTTTTCATGAACTACTATCGTCGCACTCAAATCCATACCGCACCCAAAGGTGATTCCAACTCCTGGGCGCAGCAGGTAACTTTCCATCTGTCAAATGCGAGGCGATACGGCAGCGGAAGTCTTAAGGGCCGTTACCCTACCTCACCTACCGCTTGGAGTGATTGTCTGTCAGCAGGAGTTTTTGATATGTTTCCGGGGGATGGACCGATGTTGAGACGGCGTTCCAGCGGGCCATCAGTCATTACCAGCCGCACGACATGTTCGTCTGACTCCGCTAATGTGAGGCCATGTAGCGGCACCTGGCTGATCCTCGTCTGTGTATCTGTAACTGTCGCGGGCAGAGCCATGAAGCTTCGGCAGATAACAATGACAATAAATAATTCATTCCTCCACAAGTCTGTAGAATGTCACAAGACTGTACAATAGTCAAATTCAGGCTTAGTGTTTTTCGCGTTGTATGTTAGTTTGTGTACCCGTATGTATGTAATTGCAGTGTTTCTTCTTGTATCATTAATATTGTAAAGTCAGCGCAATTCAGGAGTACTATGTATTCCTGCATTGTTGATTGATTTTAATCAAATAATAAAATTGAAAATGTAATAACGGACAGGAATATTGAGTTCACCCTTTTTTCTGTCGGACACACGTCGCTACAGTCTGGCGATCGTTGGAAATTGCAAATAAAGACAGTGATCACACGTGACAACCACCACAATATCACATTATGTATTGGCTGCGTATTGTTTTATTACATGCCTCAAGAGGGGTTCCCCGTCCCGTTCTTTTGCAATTTCGTCGGTAGAGATGAGCCACGGATATCGTTATATTAACACTGAGACCTGTGAATATTAGATTATGTATTGGCTGGGTATTGTTTTATTTTCTGTAAAGTTGCTGCCTGTCTGATGTGTCATGTGTGTCATTGTAAAATTCCTGCCTGTCTGACGTGTCATGTCTGTCATTGAATGTCGGACGTTTCGGCCCATGGACGTTTTGCATGTGGCCGAAATGTCCTAAAACGTCCATGGCCAAAACGTCCATGGGTCGAAATGTCCTGCTTCCGAACGTCGGACGTTTCGGCCACCGTATGTGGCCGAAATGTCATCCATGGCCGAAACGTCCATGGGTCGAAATGTCCTGCTTCCGTGTCATTGTAAAGTCTGTGCCTGTCTGACGTGCCATGTGTGTCACTGCAAAAGTTCCGGCTTGCCGTTCCAGTTCTCTATTGTACTAACCAATCAGGCGCGTTGTTTGCCCTTTGGAAGTTGGCATGGCGCCTGTCAGCTTGGCTTGATAACGCACCGGCGACAGAGTACCCACTAATTGAATAGAGGTCATTAATGTGAGCGGGAGGACTTCCAAAATCGATGTCAGTAAATTGCTCGTTACGGCAGGATGTGGCTGGGCAACCGAGAGGGCAATACTGAGGGAGCACTAAGTCATTATGCCGTGGGCGTTCTAAGAGCTCTGAGCATCGATTAGGGACTACAAATGCAGCTGCACGCTAATGCGTTCCCTTAGCTCTTTCATGGACATGCTCTATGTGGTAACATGTAAAGCCCCTGTCACACATTCAACCAACGATAGTTGAAGTTCGGGAGCACAGGTCCCGCCTCATTGAAAGTGGGCCAGAGCTAGTCTCTACCAGACTAACTACGCTGGCTATATATAGGAGAATATTTGCCAGTAGAGTTTGGGCGCCTTGGGGTTTGACAGGCAATCGGAGAGAAAGAAACAACCTTCCGCGGACTGACTCCCCTGGCCAATTTTACTCTTTTTGCCGAATTCTAAGATACGTATTCCCGTAGAAAGGCCTGGTGGAGGCTAGGCCAAAGCGGTAAGTAAGATTTAGCAACAAACTCTGACTCACTTGTACAGCTCCGGTTGCAGTTGTCCTAAGAAGTGCTGCTGGTAGTTGTAGGCTGTCGTGATGGGTTTGACCTGTTCACCAGGCCCGGAAGGCTGGATCCGCTCGGTGTTGGGAACTGTGAACGGGATCGTCTCCATGGGAACCGCGGCCCGCGCCATCATCTCGTTCCCATGGTTGTCTGATGGGGATGTTGTCATCGTTGGCAAAGGGACGAGGTTGTCCAGAGAGGTACTTCTGTATTGAACACAGGATAATAAGTTTTGAATTAGATAATTTGTCAGGATGACTAGATATAGCCCAATTGCAGCATTCTATCACCAAACATCATTCATTCTGCAATACCAAGGTCAATCACCAGGTACCCAAAATCAAACTGCACAATCCACTTCACCTCCTTAGCCCATGCACCTGCTAAATACCATTGTAAGCCGTCCGACAAGTCTTGAGATATGCACCAAAACATCACCGAGACCAAAAACAGCACCTACCATTCACTAAGTAGCAGCCCACGGCCATGTTTCGTAGATTTCGGTGAGACAGAAGAAATCCATCTCATGCTCACCGACTCCAAAGCAAGTTAATCACGGACACAACGCCGTGATTTAATAAACCAGGATTAGTTTAGCTCCCATGCCTCTAGGCATACAGAATGGGTGATTTTTGTTGCATCTTTATCGATCCAAAAGTTTGTGTAATTATTGCTTTCGGTTGTTTGCCCTTCAGCAGATCATGTTTCCATCATACATAGAAAGATCGGAGGCAGGACTTAATCAGAATCAGCGTACATTCAGGATATTTCCCTTGTGTCCACTCAAACATGTATATGCTACGCACAATCAGCCGTACATATGTCATGTACAATCAAAGTTCTGACGCATTTTTTTCTAGTTTTCTGGTTCGTAGGACAATGACATTTTCCTCTGATGCAGGTATTACTAAATGTATGAATGTCGTGTGCTAAATAAAGACGTGTGTTCTTTACATTTCTCCTCAAGGGTATTACAAGAGACGATTCGTGGCCACTGTAGCTTAGCAATTAAACCAAAAGTAAATGTCAGACTAGTATTACTCTCCCACATCGAGGACGTGAACCAAGTCAAGAAAAGCCCCAAGTTTGTTTCATTTTCGTCCTCCTTCGTAGACTGGATACGCCAAAGACAAAATAGCACTAAAAAAGCATATACAGAACTGCTGTAGCATAGAACTGTCTACCACACGGTACACACTACTTAGTATCTAATACCAGATCAGAAAGGTACAAAAATAGTCATGCCTTGAAGCACCAGAGTTATCAGATAGAATTAAGGTGTTCAAAACCCCATTTTTTCCTAGAAGTATCGTTCACCATGTGCAAATGTTGGGTGTAACATGCCGTTCAGTGTAATATACAATTGTAATGTGTTATGTGCAATTTGTGAACGTGTGACAGCGCTGTAAGATGTGACGTTACCGTACAGCAATCATCACGTTAGCCTTCTTCAGTACCCCTTCAGGCCAGTGTATAATATGTGATTTGACTTATGGGTTTTTAAGCACTTTTGTTGGAAGGAAAGTCGTCTGGGTTTTTATCCTCCCTGTTGGCGTCTGGACTGCACGGAACTGATATGCACGAATATCCCATCCATTGCTGTAGGGTCTAAACAACAGTCTCACTATTCTACAGCGATAGTGCAAAGGGGGAGGGGTTCTATCCTATCTACTCGCTCTTAAATATCTTCAACAGGGGAACTTCATATCCTACGCAGCAATATTCAAAAGCTAGGTGTGGCGTGGCTAGGTAGATTTATGGCCAAGTAATATAATGAAAGTTCATTGCAAACCCATGCCTGAGGGCTAATTGCAAGAGAATGATAAAATAATAAACGATAACAGGTAATGCTAATGCTACTTTTGATATAGCAATGGTTGGGTTTGATTTCTTTTCTGTGTGCAGCGGAGTATGAAATGGCCGACATTTTGCAAGATGTATAAATTGGGAGGTGTTAATAGAAATGCAGTTTTTGTAGGCTGGGAAGGTGAATAAAGCTATGGAACATTTTGGTGACCATTTCAAATAACCTATCTCTTTTGGTGCTATAATGAGGGCAATGGCAATATATAAAGTGCATTTCATCCTCCACTGCATTTTCTGTGCAATACAAGTATTTACATGTTCTGTCGTTAACAGATAATTGAAAATATGATATCTGAGGTATTTGCTCACAAATCCTATCTATCCGCACATGAATATCTCCAACAGAGGAATGTTATATTGGATGCGCATTTGTCCCTGGACACCCTTTTCTATTGCAGCCCGGTAGATATTTTATCGACGTATCTCATAAAAGACCTGTCTTCAGATCCTAACAGCAATATTCAACAGCTAGATGTTGCAAATTCGTGGCCAACTAATATGATATCTGTGGTACGTGCTGGGAAATGAAATATATTCTCATCACGATGGGAATATCGGTCTAGCAGAAACATAAGACTAGAGGTCTCATGAGGATAGATCGTGCATGAAATATCTCATGTACTATTACTAGTTATTTTTACACAATACATGATGACGGTACACCTCAGTTTTTCGTAAACCTATTTTATGCCGCCACCAACGCAGAGGACAATAGACAGTACTTGTTGTCATCTGAGTTAAGAGAGAAAAGTCGTGTAAAGTGCCTAAATTTCCCAGGGGCACAGAGTTTGCTGCATGGTAGGATTCGAACTCGGGACCTCATAGTTCCGATCCGAGCACTCTGCCGTTACGCCACACGACCCCGCTACTAGTTCTGTTGATTTTGCAATACTCGTGCGACAATGCGTGAAATATCTGATGTACCGTTACTAGATTTGTTGCCAATCACCCAATTTTTGTGGAAGATATTTGTGAGGCATCTGTCTCCCCGCAGCTGCTGCCAAGCCATTGGTCATATAATCTGCTCCTGCTAGTAGTACTCTTATTAATAACTACCCGCAGGAACAATGGGGAAAATTAAGCCACATTCATCACACAAAATAACCAATCTCGTTTTACCTTTTTCATAAAGTCGTAATTAACCTCCCAGGTACGGCGCTAGAGATGATTGTTTCAGCATCAAAATATATCAAACAAGAGGTCGAAGACCACATATACCTCCATGAATTGCCAGCTAAACATCACGTCCACAGACCATCTAGCGCAAAAGATATTTAAAAACATCATACTGCAGTACCAAGGTCAATCACCAGGGGCCCAAAATCGACCTACACAATCCACTTCACCCCACCTACTTACCTGCTACAAAACGCAGTCCGTCCGACGGATCTTGAAATATACACCTAAACATCATCCAGACCAAACAAGTACCTACCATTTCATGCAGATAATGAATGACGACCTTTATTACACATTTTTGTCCCACTGTGCTAAGTAAAGGTCCCAAAAAGCATAAAAAGATACAGTTGACAAAATGAAACTAACTGAACGAGTAACAAATTCCCAGATAAGAGGGATAGAAAATTGTGCAACTGAGGAAGACGGCGGAAAGGATTCTTGTAACAGACGTAGATGAAAAATACTCAACCTCTTATCACATTCCCGTTTACAAAGTGGTTTGCTTTATCAGATTTCTTCCGGCTCCTCGCGGTTCTATCATTTCCTTATCTTTCCTTATCCTGTCTCCAGGAGTAAGGAAATGTAGCGGTGCTAAAATAAAGCACTTCGCATCTGATGTTCTCGGGATTTTCTTCCGACGTAAGATTTATTAGCTACGTTAGAAGTTATCTAGGTCAGCGATGCTATCGTCTGTCGCCAACGTTAGTCTACATCTTTTTTATTCCAATGTCTTTTACAAGACATGCTGACGGTACAGGAAAGTTTTTCATACCTCAACTTATTTTCATACCGCTACGAACGCAAACCCATGGACAAACGTATGGACGAACAACATACCCATTTTCACATTCAGGAGTAAAGTGTGGAAATTCATGTAAAGTGCCTTTTCCAAGGGCACAAGAGTCAAGAATTTTTGCGTCCCCAAACGAAACCAGAGAGGTGTTTTTCCATGGCAGTTTATTCTGGGATTTCATTATTTTAAATTGCAGAAGCCTGCGGACATACTGTGATTAGAGTGTCCTGACTAGGCTTGATAAATTACTGACTCAAAAGTGTTCCCTCCGTGCAAAACACAAACTGTCACAAAAACACAAACTGAACACAACGTGTTCAAACAACCGCCAATCCCACCTTTAGGAGATCATCATCATCATCATCATCATCATCATCATCATCATCATATCTTCTTGTCCCATCCTCACAAAACACAAAGTGCCGTTTAACACATGTTCAAAATGCCCTAATACTAGAATATAATCATCATCATCTTCATTATCATCACCATCATCATCATCATCATCTTCATCATCACCATCATCATCATATCTTGTCGTGCCAATGTTCAGGGTTCCCTAGTTAGATTCATACAGGTCTTCATTGGTGACCTTTGTACAGAGTTAACACTCACGGAGAATGTGCTCCATAGTTTGGATAAATTACCTACACATGCTGACACAGACGTCGGACAAGGTAACATCATATCGAGGACATCGGGATGTGCAGTTGAGAAAACACTCATCGTAATCTCCAAGCAGATTTTCTGGGGACAAGGGGAGTCTTTATTAACCGTCTGTAATTGGCCGACCCTTGGGTGACGTATTGAATACTGCCTGGCCATATTTGGCGCTGTCTTGCCGATTCGATTCTACCAATTTGTATTGCAGTCACCCAAAGATCTGCTTGGAGATTAACTCATCAAACTTCACTCTCTAATTGCCGGTATTTAATTAGAGTTTGGGAGGAATTACTGACGTCACGCACAGTCTGGTAAATGTATATTATCATTCAAGGCAGGTTGTCTTTCAAGATTAAACTAAACCGGGTAATAAGCAAGGGATATGAAGATATGATCTATTAAATGCCAGAAGATTTAAAGTATTTTCTGACGAAAACCATGTGACGGCTAAACTATGTTCGGCATAACAATCAAAGTAATCAGTGTGCGCGCGCAGTTGATAGCAAAAATCTGACTGGTTTGACGAATGTCTGCTGCAGATGCAGATGACGTGTACACAATCCAGATCCTCAAACTCATTACATCGCTCACGTCAGAGCTCGAGTGGCCAGGAAATGCGTTTGGCAGATAGAATGTCGTAAGGCCATGTTGATATTTGATTATATGGATGACATCCTCTGGGAACCCCAAAACTGATACGAGTGT